AAAGCTCAAACACACTGCTTCCTTGTGTGACAACATGGAGAATCAACAAGCCAGAATCAACAACAAAGCCAGATTACACTTAGCTAAATCACACTGGGAAAAGACTCATGTTTGGAGACATGTCCTGTGCTCTGATGGAGCTAACATTGAACTGTTTGACCATAATGACCAGTGATACATTTGGAGGACAAAGGGGAAAGCGCACAAGCCTAGAACACCATCCCAACTGTGAAGTATGGGGGCGGCAGCATCATGTTGTGGGGCTGTTTTGCTGCAGGAGGGACTGGTCCACTTCACAGCATAGATGGCATCATGAAGAAAGAACATTATGGAGAAATACTGAAGCAACATCTCAAGACATCAGCCAGGAAATTACAACTTGGCCACAAATGGGTCTTCCAAACAGACCATGACCCTAAGCACACTGCCAAATTAGTGAAAATGTGCTTTAAGGAGAACAGAGTGAATGTTTTGGAGTGGCCATCACAAAGCCCTGATCTCAATCCTGTAGAAAATGTGTGGGCAGAGTTGAAAAAGCTTGTTTGAGCAAGACAGCCTACAAATCTGACTCAGTTACACCAATTCTGTCAGGAGGAATGGGCCAAAATTCCTGCAAACTATTGAGAGAAGCTTGTGGAAGGATAACAAAAACATTTGACCAAAGTTATACAGTTTAAAAGCAAAGCTGAAAAATACCAAGGAAATGTGTGTAAACTTTTGACTGTCTAGAAATTAATCAAAAAAGTCTCCAAAAAAAATTCTCTCATTATTCTGGCATTTAGCAAATGTAAATCGTTTAGGTAATCCTAACAGACCTAAAATAGTAAACGCTTAGTAATTTACCATAAGACATTTAAAAAAAATGGTTATGTTCCTTTTTTTAGAGTGTGTGTAAACGTCTGCTTTCAGCTGTATGTCTTCACAACACAATGCCATTCATCACATTGAGTGAAGTGCTAGTCTGATGATTGTGCTGAGAGGTTGTGATTCAGTTGTTTATGGTGCGTTTGGCATAGTTGTGATGCTTGTATCAGGTGTATCAGGTTATGTGCATGTTGTGTATTTGTGATGCATATGGTTATGATACGTTGTGCAGTTGGTATTGCGTGTTGTGTGTTATGATGCATGTGATGTGATGTTTGTGATGCACTTCATAATGTTGTTATAGTCATGACTTGATTAGTGTGATGTTTTTTGTGTGTGTGTATGTGGTATTTGTGTGCTGTGATATTGGTGATTTGTGTGTTGTGTTATTGGGTCATCTCATAAATCCTTGTATTGTGTGTATGTAATGTTGTGTGATGGCATTGTGATGTGTGTGTGTGTTGTGATGGATCAGGATTTGATTTGGGTGATGTTGTTTGTGTGTATGTAGGATTTGTATGTTGTGTTATTGGGTCATCTCATGAATCGTTTATTGTATGTAATGTTGTGTGATGGCATTGTGATGTGTGTGTGTGTGTGTGTGTGTGTGTGTGTGTTGTGATGGATCAGGATTTGATTCGGGTGATGTTGTTTGTGTGTATGTGGGATTTGTGTGTTGTGAAATTGGGTCGTCTCATGAATCTTTGCATTGTGTGATGCTTATGTGATGAGGATGTGTGTATGTGCCTAAATGTTTAGTGTGTTTGTGTGTGTTTGTCTGCAGGGATTCTGGAGGTTCTGCATTGCGTTCTGGTGGAGAGTCCAGAAGCTCTGAACATTATTAAAGAAGGACACATCAAATCCATCATCTCACTGCTGGACAAACACGGACGCAACCACAAGGTGACAGCAGTATGTGTGTGTGTGTGTGTGTGTGTGTGTGTGTGTTTCAGTGATAGGGAATCAAATCAAATACAACTCTGTATTCCAAATGGAGGGAAATTAACATGCATATGCAGTTGAAGTTAGAATTATTTGCTCTCCTGTGATTTATTTATGTATTTATTTCTTAAATATTTCCCAAATGATGTTTAACAGAGCAAGGCAATTTTCACAGTATGTCTGATAATATTTTTTCTTCTGTAGAAAGTATTATTTGTTTTATTTCGGCTAGAATAAAAGCAGTTTTTAATTGTTTTAATGCCATTTTAAGGTCAATATCATTAGCCCGCTTAAGCAATATTAGTTTTGGATTGTCTCCAGACACACTGTTATACAGTGACTTGCCTAATTACCCTAACTTTACCCTAATTAACCTAGTTAATCCTTTAAATGTGACTTTAAGCTGAATACTAGTGTCTTGAAGAATATCTAGTCTAATATTATGTGCTGTCATCATGACAAAGAGAAAATAAATCAGTTATTAGAAATGAGTTATTGAAATGATTATAATTAGAAATGTGCCGAAATAAAATCTTCATCCGTCAAGAGAAATTGTGGAAATAAATACTCAGGGCGGCTAATAACTCAGACTTCAACTGTACATTAGCTGACATGCTTTTACAAGTAAAGATTCCAGATTATAGAGTGTAAGTGTATGCTTTATGTCATTATATATTGTGATGCAGTGTAAGCGTGCTGATTAGCTGGTGGCTCAGTGTGACTGACTGCAGTGTGTGCTGATGTTCAGGTTCTGGATGTCCTGTGTTCTCTGTGTGTGTGTCACGGGGTGGCCGTCCGCTCCAATCAGCACCTGATCTGTGATAATCTGCTGCCCGGCAGAGACCTGCTGCTTCAGACGCGCCTCGTTAATCACGTCAGCAGGTAAAAGAGCATCAACATCACTTCCTGTCTCACACCAGCACTTCCTAATGGACCCATTTTAGAAGACTGTTATGACGCGTTTAACAGTCATCAGCATCTTAAATCCTTGAAAGTGTTTACTATTTTGATTTTTAAAAAAGTGTATGAACATTGATATGCATTTATGAATTTATTATATATATATATATATATATATATATATATATATGTATATATATATATGTATGTGTGTGTGTGTGTGTGTATATATATATATATATATATATATATATATATATATGTATGTGTGTGTGTGTGTGTGTGTGTGTGTGTGTACATATATATATATATATATATATATATATATCAATGAATTACCACTTGTGTGAGGTGTTTGTAATGCAGTGTGTATGAGGGCAGGACAGTAAATCTGACATTATGCTCTCTTCTGGCTGCCATTATCAGTCTCACACTATTGTTTTCCTTCTTCTGAAAGTCTTGATAACACTATCGTGGAGTTTTTCTTTTATTATTTCAGCAGTTTGGATTGTAAACAAATGATTCGTTGTTCTATCCCATTCCCCAATTTATGTTGCTGGGAAAACCGTAAATGTAGAAGGTTTAATTAGACGATCTCTCTGTGTCACTCATTCAGCATGAGGCCCAATATCTTCCTGGGTGTGAGCGAAGGCTCCGCGCAGTACAAGAAGTGGTATTATGAGCTGATCGTGGACCATGTGGATCCGTTCGTGACGGCTGAAGCCACGCACCTGCGAGTGGGCTGGGCGTCCACTCAGGGCTACGGGCCATATCCGGGTGGAGGAGAGGGATGGGGCGGCAACGGCGTGGGGGATGATCTCTACTCATACGGCTTTGATGGACTGCACCTTTGGGCAGGTAATGGCTCAACCTTTGACCAGTGTTGGGTGTAATGGGCTACATGCACAGCTAGTGCTTTTCAGCCACTGATAAATTTCCGGTGACTAACTTAAATTGTATAGAGTTCCTCGTAATGTGATTAAAGTATAATCAGTCAGGCTGTGAAGATCATTGATTATTACAGAAACCACTTCTTAAACATGGTGATTTTGTTATGACAAGTTCACTGGAAGTGTTTGAGCAGCTGACTGAAAATTAAAAGTCTGTGTACATATACCTGATTAGGCCCACACTGAATCTGCGCGCGAGAATTCTGCAGATTTTTAGCCTATCATTGATTCTGTTTATTTACTTGAGTAAATGTGTGTAAAACTATATATTTTCAGTTTTTTTTAATTAATTACAGTTATATTATTGACTAATATTAAAAATGTTCATCTGATTTATGCACAATGCAGTTTGTACATTAATATTTTCTCTGTTTTAGTAGAGATATTGTATGAGAGACTTGCTTTGTTTACCAAATAAAGTAGATGTAATTGGATTTGCATTTTAACCTTTAAATAAAAGTTAAAAAGATAATTAATTTTATTGTATATATTAAGGTTTTAGTTTTGAAACTGCCAAAATAATTCAGCAGAAATCCGCAGATTTTTACCAAAATTTTCAGCAGAAATAGCAAAAAACTTCCGCAGATTCCATCTGGCCCTAATGATTAGTTACAAAGTAACTAGTTACTGTAATTACATTACTTTTCAGCTAAAAAAATATATATAAATATAAATATATATATACATGCATACAGTTGAAGTCAAAATTATTAGGCCCCCTTTGAATTTTATTTTATTTTTTAAATATTTCCCAAATGATGTTTAACAGAAGAAGGAACTGTTCAAAGTATGTCTGATAATATTTTTTCTTCTGGAGAAATTTTTATTTGTTTTATTTCAGCTAGAATAAAAGCAGTTTTTAAATTTTTTAAAAGCCATTTTGAGGTCAATATTGTTAGCCCCTTTAAGCTATATATGCTTTCGATAGTCTTCAGTACAATCTAACAATCCACTTCTATGTAAACACACCAAAAACAACATTAACATTATAGCAGACACTGTAAAAAGCTCATTCCCAGCCTCTAGACTTTTCTCACAGGGTATTCCAACGCAATCTCACGGCAATTCGTAACTTTTTGATTTAGTGGCTAATTCGTATGATTTAATTCGTACAATTTAGTATGATTTGCTCATCACACAATGATGGTTGGGGTTGGGTGCCACGCCTCTTTTTTAAAATTGTACATTTTCTTCCGACTCAACTTGTACAAATTTGTACAAATTAGCCACTAAACTGACAAAACGTAAAATACTTACGTTTCCTCGTGAGATCAGGCTGGGTATTCGAGTGTCATCGAGTGTCAGATGTGAAAGTATGTTGTGGGACTGCTATACAGGGGTTTTTATTATTATTATGGATTATAGATAGCTAAATTTAGCAGTTTTTATTTTAGCGGTTTCTTATAAAGCATGCTGGTGCTTGTTTGTAGTAAAAAATTTTAATAACGACAAAAAAAAAAAAAAACTAATTTGTGGATCTCCTTAATTCCACGTGCAGCTATGCTGTTGTTGTAGACGGTGTATTCTGGGACATTTTCGTACCCCCTGGTTTCGAGTGTGATCCACAAAAAAAAATCTCTGTTTTGAGGGCTATCTAACCCTTCCACCTAGCCCTATGCCTTCAAGCTAAAGAGAACTGGGACACCTCTACCCCTTAACGTGGGGTAAGGGGAAGGGCTAAGGGGTAGAATTGGGATTGGACTTTAAGTAACTTTTCAGACAAAATAATTTAAGTTATTAAAATACGATTTTATCGAGTTAATTAGTAATTCATTACCTTTTGTAAGCAACTTCAGACTGAGATTTGAAATGCATGAGCATAAATACAGAGGCATAAATACAGAGGCTAGAATTATCAGTCATCAGAACATTTTCTATCAGCTAAACCAGATTTAGATTGCTGTGTACACTGTGTGTTTTTGTGAGAGAGAGATTTGCTGATGTTATTAAAAATGTCACGCATAACTCTGTGTGTTCAGCAGTTTTAAATGTGAAGTTGCTGTGATTGGCAGGCTGTGTGGCGCGGTCAGTCAGCTCACCCAATCAGCACCTGCTGCGGGCCGAGGATGTGGTGAGCTGCTGTCTGGACCTCAGCGCTCCCAGCATCTCCTTCCGCATCAACGGCCAGCCGGTGCAGGGAATGTTCGAGAACTTCAACTCGGATGGACTCTTCTTCCCAGTCGTCTCCTTTTCTGCTGGAGTCAAGTGAGTCTGTCACCTGAGCCACACCCCCTCGTCTGCCATTGGTCAGTCAGGCTGATAGTCCTAGAATCCTGCAAGCTGATGTTGGGTCACTGAGTGTTGTGAATATGTTATCCCAATGAGTAAACATGTGAGATGAGTTTTGGAGACGTAGTTATGATCATCATTGGTGTAAACTCTCCTCATCCTCCTCAGAGTTCGCTTCTTGTTGGGTGGTCGTCATGGTGAGTTCAAGTTCCTGCCTCCGTCCGGTTACGCCCCGTGTTTCGAGGCTGTTTTACCACGAGAGAAGCTGAGAGTGGAGCACAGCCAGGAGTACAAGCAGGACCATGGCAACACACGGGACCTTCTCGGACCCACGGTCACACTCTCACAGGCAGCCTTCACTCCAACACCTGTGGACACCAGTCAGGTAGCTATCTTTGTGAAGTTTACTTATAAACTAATTTCGAGAGCATCACGTGCTTATGATTGACACGGCTGGCCCCGAGCCAAGCTAATGCACAAACTACCAATCAGACGATTCCCAACCTAATATAAATAACCAAGCATCTTACCTTTAGTCACCTTCGTCTTGAAGAATCCCCCCTTCCACCCCCTCTCCTCCTCTTTTCTCTACAGGGCAGCACGGCGGCCCAGTGGCTAGCACTGTGGCCTCACAGCAAGAATGCCTCCGGCTCGGGTCTCTACCCCGCCGGACAGCATTTTCGTGTGGAGTTCATGTTTTCCCCATGCTTGCGTCGGTTCCCCTAAGTCCTACGGTTTCAGTCTAAAAAAACTGAGACTTAAGTAGATTGAATAAACCAAATCAACACCATATTCAAATTCCACAAGCAACACACCACCTTAGCAATCCTTAAGCAGCAGATTCTCAAGATCTACCTGAGCTCAAACTCCCCTGCAAACGGGAGGGAGCCCTGGGCTCGAGGATTTCATGAGCTCAGGGCTCTCTCCCGGCACAGCATGCCAAACTAGCTTATTACCAGTCATCAGCTAAGTGTGAACTCTTGAAATGGAGATTACCCATTGAGGTAATGATTTTTTTTTAGACCAAGGATGGGCAAACTCGGCCCTGGAGGGTTGGTGTCCTGCACAGTTTTGCTCCAACACTAATCAAACATACCTGAACATGCTAATCAGTGTCTTCAAGATCACTATAAAGCTATTGAAAGTTTTGTTTGATTGGGCTTGGATCTAAACTCTGCATATTCTCTCTTCCTACCCCTAAACTCAGACTTAGAGCAGGGGTGCCCAAATTCGGTCTCTGGAGGGCCAGTTTCCTGCAGAGTTTAGTTTCAACCCCAATTAGACACACCTGAACCAGCTAAGCAAGCTCTTACTAGGTGCACTAGAAACTTCCAGACTGGTGTGATGAAGGAAGTTGGAGTTAAACTGTGCAGGACTCCAGGACCGAGTTACCGGTCACAGTCTGCAGTTTTACATTTTCAAAATACTTCATTCTGTGTGATTTATAAGTGGGGACTGAAAAAATGTCCCTTCAACTAGGGTGGTCAAAAGTTGACGTCGGTACTAATCAGTATTGCTAATTTCCTGCAAACATTTGTGTACTGTTGCTTAACAGATATGACTGTGCTTGGCCATCAGTTTACCACTCTATACCGCTGTTTATCAAGTGCAAACAGAGATACATGGACAATACGCTTCTTTCACGCGGCCGCCATTTAAAAAAACCAAAGCGAGACTGCGGTGGGAAGAAACCCGGAAGTATCAGACCAGCTCTGTAAACATTTCTGTAACATGCTGTGTACAACAAACCTCCAGCTATTGCCGAGATTTCAAAATGCAGAAATGGTGTAACCATCACTTTAATATTAATCAGTTCAGTTTATTTCAAACAATAAAAGCAATTTAGCATCAAACAACATCACAATCTCAGTGATCCTCCTAGGCATCCGCTTATGGCACTAGTTAAACACGGTGAGGACGCTTTCCCGGTTTACCCTATGTAACCCGGTGAGCTATAAAACACTGCAGTCTTCTGCAGCACATCCTCGTGTTGTCTGTAATAGTGTTGTCCTGGTAATGAAGTTTTAAACCCGGCTATTTCCCGCTAACATGGAAGCGCCGCTGAGCGCGGATGACTCGACTGATCGTCACGGCTGCTTCACGCTTCAGTCTCCGTGTATCTGTGTTTGGTTTGCGCTCAGTTTACCGCTCTTCAGTCAGTTCAAACACAGATACACGGACTGGAGCGCGAAGCAGCCAAGATCAGTCGAGTCATCAAGCAGATCGCTCGGCTCGTCTGTGTTTGTGCTCGGTATACAGCAGTGGGTGAACTGATGACCTTCTCGGCCAATCACAATCATTTCTGTTGAGCATGTGAACACAATAGCAAATCAGCACTGTTTAAGAACGCCATCAACAGTGCCTTAAATGTTAGCGGGAAATTGCCGGTTTTTTCTTTTAATTCAGTATCATGACGAGTCTAATATAGTGAAAGAATCAGTTTATTAACTCAAGTTTGATAAATGGCATCTCAAACGTGTGTTTGGGAAAGAAAACGTTAGCTAACTAGTGCCATTTCCCTTAACTTAGCTCTGATATCACTTATTACATTCACCATTCATTCAGAACGGACCTTCGGATCAACCGGAAGGCGGAGAAATTATAAATTTGAGTCACTTTATCTTCGCTGATAAGCTATACAGCCAAGTACACAACATATCTTATGCAACTCCCAATGATACTTCCGGGTTTCTTCCCACCGCAGCCTTGATTACGCTTTTGAAAATGGCGGCTGCGTGAAATCAGTCTATGGATTGTTTTATTGCTGTGTCAATCATTTGATCCATCAGCATCATACGTCAGCTCATTGACAGATCAGCTGATAGACGTGGCTTTGATATGCTTGAAACAGTGTTGGTGTACTTTTGATAAACCTACCCACAAGGTCAAAGTTTAATGGTATAGCTGTACTTGAGGAGACATTTGGTCCCCACAATGTAAGTAATACAAGGTACACACACAGAGATGCAACGAAACACACACACAAACATTTGTTTTGCTATCTTAGTGAGGACATTACATAGACTTCCACTGTTTTTCTCTCGGGTTAATAGTAAGGGATATTGTCTAACCCTACCCCTACTCATAATCCGATTAGATACTAATAAAAACATACTCGGGCCAATTTCCCTGCTGAAAAATCCAGCCTAAACCAGCCTAGGATGGTTGGCTGGTTTAAGCTCGTCAACCAGGCTGCCTTTAGAGGGGTTTTGGCCCCTTCCAGGCTGGTTTCCAGCCATTTCCAGCCTGGTTTTAGCTGGTCAACCAGGCTGGCTTTAGAGGGGTTTTGGCCCCTTCCAGACTGGTTTCCAGCCATTTCCAGCCTGGTTTTAGCTGGTCAACCAGGCTGGCTTTAGAGGGGTTTTGGCCCCTTCCAGACTGGTTTCCAGCCATTTCCAGCCTGGTTTTAGCTGGTCAACCAGGCTGGTTTTAGAGGGGTTTTGGCCCCTTCCAGACTGGTTTCCAGCCATTTCCAGCCTGGTTTAAGCTGGTCAGGCTGGGAGATGACCAGCGAAAACCAGCTTGATCAACCCAGCCAAAACCAGCTACGTCCAGCTTAAAACCAGGATGGTCAAGCTGGTTTTAGATGCTTTTAGCTGGTCACTTTCCAGCCTGACCAGCTAAGACCTGGCTGGAAATGGCTGGAAACCAGCCTGGAAGTGGCCAAAACCCCTCTAAAACCAGCCTGGTTGACCAGCTAAAACTAGCCAACCATCCTAGGCTGGTTTAAGCTGGATTTTTCAGCAGGGTTATAAGCCTTTTTAATTACTAAAGACCAGTAAAATGTCCTCACTAAATCGTTTTGATTTCTCATTATACAAGTAAAGCTAAACCTGCACACACACACACACACACTCACACCTGTCAGGTTTACATTCCTGCTGGTCAACAATTTAATGATTTGATGGATAAGCATTGTCAGGATATTCAAGTGAGTTTGTTTGAACTCTGTAGGGTCAGGAAATTAATGTACTCAGATGTGATGGTGTGTGTGTGTGTGTTTCTGCCATGTAGATTGTTTTGCCGCCACATCTTGAGCGGATCCGAGAAAAACTGGCCGAAAACATCCATGAGCTGTGGGTGATGAACAAGATAGATCTGGGCTGGACTTACGGAGCTGTACGTCACACACACCTCACCAGTTCAAGTTCATCTGTGGACAATTTAAAAGCTTCCTTCCCACATTTGAAACAAAAACTGTATTTTTTATTTGGCAAATGTTTTACTTTGATTCATTGTTTGTACAGTATTTTGATATTATGCACATTTTTGTAATGTTTTATAGACTAAATACTGAGTAAGGTGTCCTGCAGAAACAAGCTATCCAACTATTTTCATGAAACTATTTAATGTTTTTCACTCTCATTATTATCATTATCATAATCTACACTGATCCTGTCTGCATAGTTCAGTTTCTGACTTTTTATAACACAAAAATGAAATGTTTGTATATTGTGTAGGTGAGAGATGACAACAAACGTCAGCATCCGTGTCTGGTGGAGTTTTCCAGACTTCCCGAACAAGAGCGCAGCTACAACCTACAGATGTCTCAGGAGACGCTCAAGTGAGTTTACATCACATACTGTATGTTGTATCGATAGTTGTATCATTTGCATTTAAAGGCACAGGCTACAAAAACATCTACACTTTCCTTTGACCTCAAAATGGGCATTTTCAGCAATGCATAATCAATAATCTAATGGATATTTTGAGCTGAAGTTTTACAGACACATTCTGGAAACGCCAAGCACTTATCTTACAGCGTTAACATAGGAATCTACTTGTATTCAGTGCAGATTTACTAGGTATTTGCCATATTTGTTCATGCGTAAACGAAACACACGTTACTGAACTCATAATCTGATGAATCAGACTGGTTGTTGTGTCTACTTACTAGTAGATCCGGTAGTGTCCTATGAACTAACATCACTGAATGATTCACACAAATAAAGCGAGTAGTTTTTTAGATGAATCATATTTGTCTTGGAGCATCCCTTGATACTTGCTGCTGCTCTCTTTTCTTTTCGCACAGCATCATACATGTTCTATTGACTTGTGTTTGATTATAGTTCTGTGGTATGTGTGAGTGTGTCTTAATTAAGTGTAACTGGGTTGTGCAGGAGTTACTGTGTCAGGCAGAATGAGTTTTCAATTGTGAATCAGTATGTGTAATGAGTCGGGTTGCAACGGAGGTGAAGATCCAAGTGCAGATTAGAAAGAGAATCGTCAGGCAGGCAAAGGTCAGAACAGGGACAGACAAGAGCATGCAGGTAATCCAAAAGCGTAGTCAGTGTACAGGCGAATGATCAGGACATGCGGCTAAACAACAAACAGTAACACAAAGCAAAAGTCAAAGCATGACAAGGAAAACACTTCTTTATGCTTACAGTTGGCGACGCAGTGGTGCAGTAGGTAGTGCTGTCGCCTCACAGCAAAGAGGTTGCTGGTTCAAGCCTCGGCTGGGTCAGTTGGCGTTTCTGTGTGGAGTTTGCATGTTCTTCCCATGCTCCGGTGTCCCCCACAGTCCAAAGACATGTGGTACAGGTGAATTGGGTAGGCTAAATTGTCCATAGTGTATGAGTGTAAATGAGTGTGTGTGGATGTTTTCCAGACCGGGGTTGCGGCTGGAATTGCATCCGCTGCGTAAAAACTTGCTGGATAAGTTGGCGGTTCATTCTGCTGTGGCGACCCCGGATTAATAATGGGACTAAGCCGAAAAGAAAATGAAAAAATGGATGCTTACAGTTTAATAAGACTCAGAAAAGAGTGTGAATGAGGTGTCTGTATAGTCCTGTAGTCCATCTTTATGTGTGTGTAATCAGGGGGAATCAGGAACTGGTGTGTGAGTGCAAAGACGTCAGGGAGTTGTGTTTCATATAGTAGCAGATGTGTAGTTCTCTAGCAATCTGCACAGGCTAGATCGCTGATTATCGTGACAGTATTAAAGTTCCTGTCTAAACACACATGTAGATTAATTACCTCTGTTAACACATACAAATGATGTCATCAGTGAACAATGCTGTGATACCGATGCGTGTTTTGCAGGACTCTTCTGGCACTGGGATGTCACGTCGGAGTGGCAGACGAACGAGCGGCAGAAAAAGTCAAAAATCTCAAGCTTTCAGCAAAGTGAGTGTCAATTTTATTTATGATATATTAACATTTTTGCGTGTCTGGATATATTATCACCATCTCCTAAATCAAATGTGATATATGGCCATATATTAAAAATAAAAGTTATTATATTTAAGCATGCCGACATGGTGGCTCAATGGTTAGCGCTGTGGCCTCACAGCAAGAAGTTCGCTGGTTCGAGTCCTGGCTGGGCCAGTTGTAATATCTGTGTGGAGTTTGCATGTTAGGTGCTCCGGTTTCCCCCACAATCCAAACACATCCGCTATAGGGGAATTGATTAAATCATTGGCCGTAGTGTATGAGTGTGTGTGTGAATGAGAGTCTATGGGTGTTTTCCAATACTGTGTTGCAACCGGAAGGGCATTAGCTGCACTAAACATATGCTGGAATAGTTGGTGGTTCATTCCGCTGTGGCAACCTCTGATAAATCGTCGAGGGAAAATGAATGAATGAATATTTAAACATATATATGGACATATGTGACCCTGGACCACCATTTTTTTGTTAAACAGGTATATTTTTTGGTGTGCTTCTTGTTAATATTCAATATATGCGTCAAAGGTATTGCTTTTTTATGCCAAAATTCATTAACTATTAGGTAAAGATCACGTTTCATGAAGCTATTTTCTAAATTTTCTAGTGTAAATATATCAAAACTCTATTTTTTTAATAATGTGCATTGCTAAGAACATAATGTGGACAATTTTAAAGCAAATTATCTCAATATTTATTTATTTTTATTATTATTTTTTTTTACTATTTAAATTAGTAATTCAGAATTTCAGTAGATGCATATATATATATATTCTTATATATTCTTAAATTTTAACATAATTAAAAATCTTAATTGACACATGATTGGTTTTGTGGTCCTGGGTCAGAAATTTGAATTCAGATTGATATATGCAAATGGACAATTTTATGCAATATCAATAAATACATGTTGCATATGTAGGGCGGCACGGTGGCTCAGTGGTTAGCACTGTGGCTGCACAGCAAAAAAGTCGCTGGTTCAAGTCCTGGCTGGGTCAATTGGCATTTCTGTGTGGAGTTTGCATGTTATCCCCGTGTTTGTGTGGGTTTCCTCCGGGTGCTGCGGTTTCCCCCACAGTCCAAACACATGCGCTATAGGTGAACTCAATAAACTAAAGTAGCCGTAGTGTGTAAGTGTGTGTGTGTGTGTGTGAATGAGTGTGTATGGGTGGTTCCCAGTATTGGGTTGCAGCCGGAAGAGCATCTGCTGTGTAAAACATATGCGGAAATAGTTGGCGGTTCATTCCGCTGTGGTGACCTCTGAAATAAAGACTAAGGAAAATGAATGAATGAATGTTGTACATGTCTACAGTTAGTTGATGTAGTGGTACAGATTGATTATTTTGCGTTCTCATGTCAGATATGAGCTCTCTAGTGGGTATAAACCTGCACCGATGGACCTGTGCCACATCAAACTGGCGTCTACCCAGGAGGCCATGGTGGACAAGCTGGCAGAGAACGCTCACAATGTCTGGGCCAGAGACCGCATACGACAGGGCTGGACGTACGGCATACAGCAGGTCAGTCTGGGTCAGCCTTAATGACAATAGGCTCTATTTTGACGGTCCATGCACAGAGCGCAAAACGCAGGGCGCAAACGCTTTCAGGGCGTGTCAGAACGCATTTTTGCTAATTTAAGGACGGGAAAATCTGCTTTGCGCCGTGGCGCATGGTCTAAAAGGGTTGAGTTTATTTTCTTAATGAGTTATAGGTGTGTTTTGAGAATAAACCAATTACAGTCTCATCTCCCATTCCCTTTAAGAGTCAGCTGCGTCGCGCCAAGAGCGCATTCGCTATTTACAGGACGCAAAGTAAGTCTAAGTGGAAAAAATGAGCATTTCACAAGCAAACAGTTAACAGAAAACAGTTAAACAGAGCATCTACTGCGTGAGAATGAGAGATAGTGGATCACTTTCACATTCGCTCTTAGATAGGGAAACCTTTACGCACAGACATCAATTAGCCTATAAATAATTAATTGCGTTTGTTAAGTGCAAATATTCATTTCAAAACTATTTCTAAATTCAGTTCTAATTTCCAGCAAACGAATAAATGAATAATAATAACAAAATGTGCTCAAAAACCTGAGTTATATCCTAAAACACATGCTGTGCCCCATATGGTCTAAAACCTGACAGGTGGACAAATCTAAGCTTGTTTTTAATAAAACAAATATAAATATGGATATAATAAATAATACTGCTAATAATAATAACATTATACAAAAGCAAATTGTTATGAATGAACTGAAAAAGCCTCCCGAGATGAAGAAGGCATAAAAGCAGTGATTTTTCATATTTATGTAGGCTAGAAAATAATATGTTTTGTAATATTTTAATCCTTTATATTTATATTCTATATCTATTCTTATTATATCCTATATATATATCCTTAATATTTACATTTTTTTCATATGTAAAGATATTTGCCTGTTGCTCTCTTGTGTGTATTAAGCAGTGTGTAAGCGAGGAGCAACTCTGCGCCGGGGTTTAGACCGGGTTTGTTTTGGTCTGATGAAAAATCTATTATAGTTTCTCAAAATAGCGACGCGCCAGCGGTCCGCCTCAGAACGCCTTCCTTTTTACACCAGAACGCACAAATGAACGCTAATGCATTTGCTATTAAAACAGCGTAGCGCAATGCCTCAAAACGACTCTTGCGCCAAGCTGAAACTACCAAACAAGTATTGCGCCGCGTCTTGCGCCACATTGCGCCGGGTGTGCGATAGGGCCCAATAACAGATAAGACTTTAAAATTGGTTGACAATGAGAACTTTGGAGTCATTTCAGTTTACCCGTAATAAAGTGAAAATTTATAAATCGCTGACTGTGTTAAAAGCATTTAGGCACAAGGAATTATTACATTTTATCAAGCTTTAACAAAAATTAATTGTATTTAATTCACCGTTCCCATGCTATTTGAAAGTATTTGAACTTCAGACATATGGATTCAAGGCCTGAAAATACTTAAAAACAAACGTAGATCCTTAAAAGTGCTTAAATTTTGAAATAAATTTGTTTATGTTGTTATTTTAGAAATTGTACTGTTCTGCTGTCAAAAAAAGCAAGAAAAAGACTAAGAAATTTTTCATTTAAAAATCCTAAATTTAATCAATATTCATTTTATCAATATTTTAGAAACAGCATTTAAATATTATAAGCAATGAACTCAACAAATACTATTAAAGTTTTTTGAATATGATTGTTTAAAACTTGCATAAATAAAGCCTGTTGTATTGTATTTTCACCACAGGTGATTTAATAAGTATATGATAAATGTAGGCATTTTAGGAAAATGTTTAAATGTTGCTTTACTAGTTATCAAAACACGTTTGTATGGATAATAATGTGAAATGTTTTTCAATAATAAGTGATATGCTTCCCAGTGATGGGTTGCAGCTGGAAGGGCATCCGCTGCGTAAAAAATGTGCCGGATAAATTGGCGGTTCATTCCACTGTGGCGAACCCAGATTAATAAAGGGACTAAGTCAAAAATAAAATGAATAAATGAATAAGTGATATGAAATAGGCTAGTTTCAGCATCGATATCACAGTGTGATTATCCACAATAGTCACATCGCAGGATATACAATGCTGAATCTGGGATTAATTTTATTAAATTGTTTATACAACCAAGACTGCAGTTACATTTTACAGTTTATTATTTAATGTTCGGCATAGTGGCTCAGTGGTTAGCACTGTCGCCTCACAGCAAGAAGGTCGCTGGTTCAAATCCCGGCTCGGTCAGTTGGCATTTCTGTGTAGAGTTTGCATGTTCTCCCCGTGTTGGCGTGGTTTTCCTCCGGGTGCTCCCCACAGTCCAAACACATGCGCTATAGGTGAATGAATGTACTAAATTGGCCGTAGTATATGAGCGTGTGAGAATGTTAAAGTGTGTGGGTGTTTCCCAGTACTGGGTTGCAGTTTAAAGGGTATCCGCTGCAAAAAAACATATGCTGGAATAGTTGGCAGTTCATTCCACCATGGTGACATCTGATAATCAGAGACTAACCCAAAGAAAATGGAATGGATGAAGTTGGGTTTTTCTGGTTCAACATTAGCATTGATTGGGGAAGTCCCCTCGGATAAATTCACTTAGGCTGCTTTCACACCTGTGAATGGATTCAGTTGTTCCGAAACAGAGATTACAATTGTTACATTGTTGCTCTTTGCTCTTGGAGCGGTTCGCTTTCACACTGCAAAGTTTCTAATCTGACCAAAACAGCTACAAGTCACGTGCGAGTAAACTCTCCTCACATTGGTCAGAGTGTCAGGGTTTATTTTGCAGCGTCCCGCTCAGCTGTCAGGAGAGGTGATGGTTTGGTGGTGATTGACAGGGTGCGTGCGCGACGTGTCTGAGGAGAGATGCGGTGGGGAGGGGTGAGAAGGGTGCGCGACGATGCCTATTTGAGGACCGGGAGGGAGACGCGAGATTACCGGGAGATCATCACTCGTTTGCGGGCATCCGGAGACTCGCGAAATTTACCGCCATACTCATAATTCTCTCTTCATATAGCCGTATGCCTATTACATATCCATAAAACACTGTGATATAACCGCGCTGGGATCGGATCGCTTTCTCACTGCAATCGAACCGCTCCAGAGTTCGTTTCAATTAAGTAAGTAAGTAAGTAAAGTTTATTTATAAAGCACATTTACTTCAGCTTGGCACTGACCAAAGTGCTGAACAAAACCATAGCACACACTCTAAAAGAGTAAAAGATAACAATAAAAGTAATAATAGGAATAAAAGTATTACAGCAACAACCACAATAAAGATTAAAAGCCTGGGAATGCAATAGAATAAAAATGTGTCTTAAGTCTGGACTTAAAAATAGAGAGAGAAGAAGCACTTGTAATATCCGGTGGTAGCTGGTTCCACAAACGAGGAGCAGCGACTGCAAAGGCTCTATCCCCTTTCAGTTTAAGTCGTGACCGAGGAACTTGAAGTAAAATTTTATTTGAAGACCTAAGAGACCGAGGAGTTGACTGTAAGTTAATAAGCTCTGATATATAAGAAGGTGCTTGCCCATTCAGTGCTTTAAAAACAATAAGTAAAATCTTGAACTGAATTCTAAAATTAACAGGAAGCCAATGAAGGGATGCTAAAACTGGTGAGATATGAGCATATTTTTTGGTGCCTGTTAAAAGTCTAGCTGCCGCATTTTGAACCAACTGCAACCGTGCCAATGAGGATTGGGGAAGACCAACATATAGAGAATTGCAATAGTCTAGGCGGGACGTGATAAAAGCATGTATGACCTTTTCCAGATCTTGAAAGGAAAGAATGGATTTGAGTCTGGAGATGATCCTCAGCTGATAATAACTATTCTTAACCACTGAGCTCATTTGTTTTTCTAGACAAAGCTCAGAATCAAAGATAACTCCTAGATTTTTTACTTGCGATTTAACATACGGTGCAAGACTTCCCAAGCCCCCAATATACGACATTCTTGTTTTTGAGGGGCCGAAGAGAATAACTTCAGTTTTGTCATTATTAAGTTGAAGGAAGTTTTTTGCCATCCAACATTTAATATCCTCAAGACAAATAATTAGAGACTGCAGGGAGTTCTGAGATTTTAAGGGAACATACAGCTGAGAGTCATCTGCATAAAAATGAAAAGATATGTTATGTTTCCTTATAATATTACCAAGAGGAAGCATATATAAGTTGAAGAGCATTGGACCCAGAATAGAGCCCTGGGGGACACCACACAGAAGAGGGGCAGATGTTGACATAAATTGGCCAACAGAAACTGAAAAAGACAATTGAGCCGAGACCACCTCATTCAAGCGCGATTGCCCTGTTCACATATGCTGGCATATAACTGGGCAAACAAGACACGTTCCGAAACAAAAGTGTAGGTGTGAAAGCACTCTTTATCTCTATGGGCGTTGACTGCTGAAACGAAAACGGATTTACACGGTTTGTTTCATTTGTATTTTTCTTTATTTTACTTCTTTATGCTTGTAGCTTGTTTATTATAAGTAATGCAGATGAACCTACAGAGTAATCCCGTCAGTCAACTAAAATAATTAATTCTTTCTAAATCGAATTATTTAAGTCATCTGGACTAAAAGTGCATTAATATAGCAATATTTATTGCAGAATAACAAAATATCGCAATGCTCGTTTTTTTCACTATCATGCAGCCCTAATATGTAATGAATATTTAAACGCACTGCACTGTGATATGAAGGCACTCATACTGAGATATGCCTTTGTGCTGATGGGAAGAATCTGCAGCAGGATTACAGCTGTCTGGAAGATTGATGCGTGTTTGGTCGCAGCGTTTGATAAAGCAGACGAACACTTAAGCACACAGGCGACAGGACGGCTCCAAGTCTCGCTCAGATGCGTCTCTGTGTCTCTGCAGGACATTAAGAACAAGAGAAACCCTCGTCTCGTTCCTTACGTTCTTCTGGATGAGAGAACCAAGAAGTCTAATAAGGACAGTCTGCGGGAAGCCGTTAGGACACTGTTGGGTTACGGATACAACCTAGAGGCTCCAGATCAAGATCACGGTACCATCAGTCTAATAATGATAATAGTTTGTTTACCCCATTAGCAGATGATTTAGCTTGCAGATAAGTGTGCATTGAGTTGAACAATAGCATATTCGTGTTCAACTGAGAGCTTTTAATAAAAATGCATTTGTCTGGATGTATTGCGATCTCATCAGTGTGTGTTTCTGACGTGTGTGTTTTGTGCTTCAGCTCGAGAGGATGTAGGTAATCTGTCAGCAGAGCGTTTCCGGATATTCCGTGCAGAAAAGACGTACTGTGTGAATGGAGGGAAGTGGTACTTTGAGCTGGAGGTGGTGACGGCGGGCGAGATGCGGGTGGGCTGGGCGAGACCCGGCTGTCTGCCAGACCAGGAGCTCGGAGCAGACGAACAGGCCTTCGTATTCGATGGATTCAAGGTGAGAGATGGGCGAACACTGACACATGTAGTACTCACAAGTACAGGGATCCCACGAGTCATGAAGTATCAGGACATTTCATTTTTTAAATTATTATTTGAGTCAAGGAATATCAGGGATTTTTATTTGTCATATTACATTTTCAACCCAGGGTCATTGTAGAAACGTAGCCCCGTGGACGTTTTGGGAAACATCGAAATGTGTCCCGGGAGGTACATATTTGTGCCGTTTTTGTTTTCGCAAATCTGCGAGAGGCCGCTGTGCACATCTCAAATGCCTCTTGCAAGCGCCGTTCGTGCCCGCACTGTTCTAGCGTAGACGCCGAAGGCCACTGTCGAGCAACCGTCTGTCCGACTGACTGACTGAATGACTGAATGATTGATTGGCCAATCAGCCGACCTATCCTCCTTCTCCTCTTTTCCTAAACCTAACCGGTTTTACCGATTGACCTGCCGGCCCGCCCGCTCTCTCTTGCTTCACTAAGACCAAGCGACAATTTACAAAAGCCGTCCAGAAACAGAAAAGCCCCCTCCTTTGATTTTGACCGCGTTTTCAAATTTCGCCACATTCTTGCCCTGTTATGAAATCGTTTACTTTATATTTTAAATTCTGTTTTTGTCCTATCTGATTTCTGAAACCGCTCCTCCCCGGACTCGAACCCGGTCTTCGCCGTCGTCGCTGTCGGCTCCCCTCTGGCTCTCCGCTCCGCCGACGAACACGACGAGCTAACCGGACTAACTGGTTGCATCGGGAAAGCCCTCAACAACGAGGTGATCCGTCAGCCGGCAAGCGTGAAGAGGAACCGCGTCACATTACCCCGTAGCGTTCGCTTGAAAAAATTTAATGCAGCCATGCGTACCTCCGGCCACGTAAATCTCCAGAAACGTCCGCGGAGCAACATTTCCAGAATGACCTTGGGATGTAAATTTTACTTCCCATTTTGTTTCTATACCGGATGAAATACTGTATACTACCCAAGGCTCAACAATAAGGACTGCACAAAGGCCCGGGGCCAGCGTGAGAGATGTTCGGGACAGTAGAGAGAAACGTCACTGGCCCAGTCATACCAGTGCTGCCTTGTCACTAAAGTTTAATTTGCCTGCAACTATTTGTCACTTGCATGCAAAATACAGTCTTAGAATCGAGAAACAATTTGTGCTTTTATGTCTTTGAATGCTGCCTTATCTATGAAGTCACCATAAACACCATATTGCTTTTTGGTTCCTTTTATCTGATTGGATGTTGTGAACACGTTATTTTTTTTCCACAACCTGGTAAAAACCAGAACAGTGAAGAGACGGCAACATGACGGCAACATCAAATTATGAGGCTTAAAGAAAACATGTTTCCAACGTTGTGGAAACAGATATTTACATGGGTACAACACAATAAAAAAATGAAGTGATGTTTTGTATAGTTTTCCGTCAGCTACCTTTTGTTTTGCAATAAAATACCTGCACATTTTCCATACTGCTACATTTTACTGCTAATTATTTTAGCATTTAAAAATATTTAAATACTAGAATAACATACATTATTTTTGACACATTATTTAAAATATGTGGCTAAGAAATAGCTATAATTTATTGATTTATTTTAGTAGGGGCAGTGAAAATTTTCGCAGGGCAAGTAAAAATCTGAACCCCTGGTCAAGTCGAGCCACTAGAAAATGTCCTTAGCGTTGAACCCTGCTGCCTGTTTTGTGTCTGCACAGTGCTCAACCAGTTTCTCCTGTATTTTGCTGGAAAGATTGTGGCATAAAATGACTGGTTTTGTTGTTGACTTTTTCTAAGTGGCAATATTTGGAGAAGTTCTTGTGTTGTTTTGCTGTGAAAAATGCACAAATTTAGACACTTTATTGATTACGTTTTATCATTTTTGATTTTTAACAACCATTGATGTCTATCATTTATTTAACTGTTACACTTGTTGAAAACACTCGAAACAGTGTTTACCTCTTACTCATATAGACTTTATCATATTTGATGAATGACCTCTTAATTAATCTCTATCCTTTGACTTAGTTCCTGATTTAACAGGGGTCACCAGAGTGGAACGAATCGCCATTTACTCTGCCATACGTTTTACATAGCAGATGCCCATCTACATGTCCTGGCTGTCTGTGGCATTTAAAGGGGACCTATTATGCAAAAATCACTTTTATAAGGGGTTTATGCACAGTTGGGTGGCAACAGTGTGTGAATATATCCAGCTTCTAATGGTAAACATTCATTAATTCAAATTTTTATAATCAGACTTGATCTAAACAGTCTGCAGAAACACTTTGATTGACATTCTCCCTTTGTACGTGTCATCAGAGGGGGAAAGCCCCGCCCACTAGTGACCATCTCTCCCTAGTCTTGTTCTGAATCTGCCACTTTTCTGACACATAGGCATTTGTGGCTCCGCCCTCTTTTGAAAATCCACAAACTCATTTGAATTTAAAGCGACAGTCACCAAAACAGGTAATAGGTGGGGTTTCATTTATTAATAATAATAATAATAATTCGTTACATTTATATAGCGCTTTTCTGGGCACTCAAAGCGCTTTACACAATGGGGGGGGGGATCTCCTCATCCACCACCAGTGTGCAGCATCCACCTGGATTGCACACCACACACCAGCTGATTGGTGAAGAGGAGACAGAGTGATGATATGCCAATCATGATATGGGGATGGTTAGGAGGCCATGATGGACAGAGGCCAGTGGGCAGATTTGGCCAGGAGGCCGGGGTTAAACCCCTACTCTTTTTCGAAGGACATCCTGGGATTTTTAACGACCACAGAGACTCGGGACCTCGGTTTAACGTCTCATCCGAAAGACGCCGCTCACTGAGCAGTATAGCGTCCCCTTCACTATACTGGGGCATTAGGACCCACACAGACCGCAGGTTGGGCGCCCCCTGCTGGCCTCACTAACACCACTTCCGGCAGCAACCTAGCTTTCCCAAGTGGTCTCCCATCCAAGTACTGACCGTTTTTATTAGTTTTTATTAGTTTTATTAGTTTTCCTTCGGCTTAGTCTCTTATTTATCAGGGTTCGCCATAGCGGAATGAACCGCCAGCTATTCCTGCATATGTTTTTATGCAGCGGACGCCCTATCAGCCGCAACCTACTCTTGTAAAAAGTGGCATCTTTAAAAAACAATTGCAAGATTCTTTCAACTTTGTGTCATTTTCTTGATTTTGCATTAAAATCAGTGATGTCATATCACAGATCACAATTCTGAATTGACTGCTCAACAAAACAACACAACAGCTGCTTGTTTTTCTATGCATTATAGCTTGTGGGATTCAGGATGACAGTCAGGGAATTTGAGATTTGTGTGTGTGTGTGTGTGCAGGCGCAGCGCTGGCATCAGGGAAACGAGCACTTCGGCCGCTCCTGGCAGTCTGGAGATGTGGTGGGCTGCATGGTGGACATGAACGAACGCACCATGATGTTCACACTGAACGGAGAAGTGCTGCTCGACGACTCCGGCTCTGAGCTGGCCTTTAAAGACTTTGAGGTGTGGGAAGGTGAGTGACTGACCCCTGCTCTACTCTATTCACTAAATACACACCCGAAACTCTTCTCTGGGGGTCTTTCACCCGTGTTGACCCTTTCCTCATGTATTTATTTGCTTTTTTTTTTTGTTTTATTGGGTTGTTTTTGAGATGTAGTCTTCTGTACAGCTCTATTAGAAAGAAATTCAATAGAGGTAAATGTCTGACACTATGTGTGTGTGTGTGTGTGTGTGTGTGTGTGTGATTGAAAATGCAGCTAAAGTACTGAAGCTAAGCAGACTTGAGCTTTAGTAACACCTGCAGAGCTGATGCTGCAAAACACACACACACACACACACACATATGGTGATGCTTGCTTATACAGTACACACACATGAACACAGTGAAGTGTACACATTCATAAAAAAAGTGGTGCTCATATTCACAACACACACATTTAACCTCACAGATGCTCATAAACATTAACATATGCTGCATAAACACACACACACACACACACACACACAACATGCATGCTCACCCACAGATGCTTATGCAGATGCTCATACACACACGGATGCTCACACATTGATGCTCTCTCACACATGCACACACACTGATGCTCATGCACACGGTCCATAGATTCTTACACACACACTGATGCTTGCTAATACAGTACTCACACACACGAACACAGTGAAGAACTCATACACACAAACACACACCTATACACACAAATAGTCGCACACAGAGACTCACACACACACACACACACAACACACATGTTCACATACAGATGCTTATGCACATGCACAGATGCTCTCTCTCTCACACACTAATGCTTATACACACGCACACACAGATTCCTAGACACACACAGACGCTCACACACACTGGTGATGTGCATCCGTTGCATCAGTGTCTGATGAGGCAGTGTGTGTGCGTGTGTGTGAGCACCACTTGGAGAGTTGCTGTATCATCTGTCTTCACCTCTCAGCAGTGAGAGCAGCGCCCCCTGCTGACCACTGACACACACTTAAATCACTCAGCATATCTCCTGTTCTCTGATTCAGACACAGCTCTCAGCAATTTATCTAAGTACTTAAACATTATTAAATTAAGTGCATTTACTTGTAATTAAAAATGGCAGAAGTGGTGTTTATTTTTTCGAAAAACTGATCGAAATTGCCTATCGATTGCCTAGTCAATCTCGTTCAGTCATTCAGCTAGTCGTACAAATGGTCGCTCGGCAGCGGCCTCTAGTGGCTTTTTACACAAGAACAGCGCGGGCACGAACGGCGCTCGCACGCTCGGTGTTCGAGACGCGAAAAAGCACGCATAGCAGTCTCTCGTGGATTCGTGAATACAAAAACTGCACAAATGCATACCTCCCGGGACGTATTTCGTGGCCGCCAAAAATGCCCACGGGGCTATGTTTCCAGAATGAGCCTGGGTTGGTTTTAAATTAAGAATAATTTTCTAGACAAGTAAAAAAAAAATAGTGTTTTGTTTTCAGAAATAATGCCACAATTAAGTATTGTTTTGTAAAATAAGCGAAATTATTTTTTCAATGCTTCAATTCAGTCACTAAAATCTTCTATGTGTAGCGAGGAGACTGACACGGAGGGATCCATTATGCAGTATTTATTTATCAAGCTCTCACTCGAACACACAATATGCACCAATGTGCAAACACACATCAACAAACGTCTTAAAGGTATCAAGACTGGTGGTAAACAGACACAGAGGGATTTACCAGACATGGGTCAAAGGCAGGCTGCGTGAATCAGAGTCCGTGTATCAGGCTTGGGTCGTGGGCAGGTAGCGAGTATCAGAGTCCGTGTATCAGGCTTGGGTCGTGGGCAGGCAGAAGGCGAAGCAGAGTCAGAAACAGGCTGGAGGCAGGAAATAACGCTCAGTAATGCTGGCCGGGGCTAAACAAGACTTCGCACTGACTGAGTGTTTGGAACTGGCTTATAAAGGGTACGTGGGTCGTTAGCTTGATTCAGAACAGGTGTATGCACAATCAGCGTATGTGGATGATGTAATGCTAGAAGTCCGGAGATGGCGGCCTCTGCTGGCCAGCGAGGGGAATGACTGGGACCGAGTCGGAGACACTACGTGAAGCTGCTTTGACACAGTCTTCATTGTAAAAGCGTTATAGAAATAAAGATGAAGTAAAATAATCTTATTTCTAACCAAAGTAAGCGTATTTTGCTCACCCTACCAGGCAGATTTTTATTTTATGGAAAAACCTACTTAATTTTGATGTATTACTTCTGAAAAGAAAGGAATACTTTTTAATTGTTGAAAAAATGATTCTTGATTTAATTTGTTTAGGACAGGGGTTTTCAAAGTGTGGGGCGTGCCAAAGCATGTCAGGGGAGGCGCGGGAAAAAATATTATATAATAAAAATATAATTATTAAGTTTAAATATTATATGTATTTTTTATTATTTTAAACGTTTTAATTAAACAAAGCTAAAAAAAATAATACGTCAAAAATAAGAAAACCTTTTTTACCCAGAAGGCCATAGCTGTGAATTCGCTTCTGTTTGGCAAGCCCGCCAATACAGGTATATGCCTGCTAATCATGCTGCTAATGCAATGGATCGGTTTCTGAGACCCCCAATTCAAAGCCTTCAAGTTCAGGGCTTAAACCCAAAAGACGACGATATGATGATCAGTATTTGAGTTTAGGATTTACGTGGACAGGACCAGCTGAGGAACCACGACCTTTATGCGTGGTTTGTCAAGATATTTTGGCTAAAGACAGCATGAGACCCGCTAAACTTCAGCGACACCTTGAAACCAAGCATGATGATATAGCGAGAAAACCTCCAGAATTGTGTGTGTGTGTGTGTGTGCGCGTGTTTGAGAGCAGGGGGTGCCAATGGATAAGTTGTGTCAAAAGGGAGGCCCACTGTCTTAGACTTTGAAAAACCCTGGTTTAGGATAATCAGACTAAAAACTAAACAAAAACATAATAGTAAGGCTTTTTTTTTTTTGCAGTGGATCACCATTTTTTGAAATCACTGCAAAATAATCTATAAAAAGTCTAGAAAATTGTTCTAAATGTAAGACTTTTTAGATATTACAATTCAAAAATGACAAAAACTAGTAAGGAAAGCGTTGTTTGCGACTGGCTAATGTGGTAATATGAATATTTGTGTCAGGCTTCATCCCGGTCTGCAGTCTGGGGGTCAGTCAGGTGGGCCGCATGAACTTTGGGAAGGACGTGAGCACGCTGAAGTACTTCACCATCTGCGGCCTGCAGGAGGGATACGAGCCCTTCGCTGTCAACATGAACCGAGATCTGACCATGTGGATCAGCAAACGCCTGCCGCAGTTCACCCCTGTCCCGCTCATCCACGAGCACATAGAGGTTAGTGGGTTCCAGGACAACACATACACTTAATACACTTCATTAAACATGTACACACAGACATCACCTATATGCTATGCAATTGCAGGTTTACTATGTCTGTATATGATAACTTGTATTTGATTGTAACTGTATCTTAATTTGATTGTAATGCAGTAATGTGCATCTTTTGCAAAGCTGCTTTAAAACAGTAATTATTGTAATAAGCGCTATATAAATACACTTGAATTGAATTGAATAGAGATCTGAGGTCACGCTCCTGCTTTAGGATGAAACCTTCAAAGGACTGTGTGTGTTACAGGCAGGGTTGAGTGTAATTAGTTAGAATGTAATTGGTTGGAATAAAGTAAAGTTGTTTTGGTAACACTTTATAATAACTGCATACTATAAATCATTTATTAAGCATTAGCAAATAGTGAATTCATAATTTGTTAAGCATTAACTCTACACTAATAAGCGTTAGTAAGCAGTTTATAACTGCAGCTACAAATGCTCTATTCTTGACTTACAAACATATTTATAATGTGCTTAATAATCGTATTTTCATACTTTGTTAAAGATTTATTTTTCATTACTAAATGAAGTATCGCATTATACAAACCATTTTTATTTAAGAGTAGTTGAGGGTTTTTAGGATCATTCAGAATGAGTTAGTAAATGATTATTAAACTATTGAAATCAACGTTTATATATCTTATTATTCAGGCATATATTATCTAATTGAACTTGCGTTGTAATGCTTAAATAAAATGTATTATTTTTTATTTTTGTTTAGGTTTTAGGTTTTTAGTTACCATTCTCTCAAAATCATTCCACACAAATCCAGAAATAGCAAAGAATTTTCGCAAATCTGTAATAAGTAATTTCTGATATTTTTAAAGTAATTTACCTATAACTGGTTACAGGTCACACGGATCGACGGGACGGTGGAGAGCCCGCCGTGCCTAAAGGTCACCCAGAGGTCATTCGGCTCACAGAACAGTCACACAGACATCATGTTTTACCGGCTCAGCATGCCCATCGAGTGCTCGGAGGCGTTCGCCCGCTCGCCTGGTGGGACGCTAGCAGCCAACGGCAGCTTCTTCTCCCCTAAGAGAGACCTGGAGGATTTTGAGACGGTGTCGGATTTTGAGGTCCTTATGAAAACACCACACAGCCACATGAGCTCCAACGGACCAGACAGAGAACGGGACGAATTCAACAACCACAAAGATCATAACCAGGAGAAGCCATCCAAAATCAAACAGAGGTGGGTTACACACATTCTTGTGACGCTAATGCTAACTGAAGTCTCAGCCTTTTGCATGCTGGCATATACAGTTGAAGTCAAAATCATTTGTCCCCCTGTGATTGTTTGTTATTTTCCCAAATATTTTCAAAAAGATGTTTTACAGCAAGGAATTTTTCACAGTATTTCCTTTAATGTTTTTTCATCTGGAGAAAGTCTCATTTGTTTTATTTCGGCTAGAATAAAAGCTGTTTTTAAAGCCATTTTAAGGTCAAGATTATTCGCCCCTTAAGCAATATTAGTGTTGGATTGTCTCCAGAACAAACCACTGTTATACAATGACTTGCCTAATTACCCTAACTTTACCATAATTAACCTAGTGAAGCCTTTAAATGTGACTTTAAGCTGAATACTAGTGTCTTGAAGAATACTAGTCAAATATTATGTGCTGTCATCATGACAAAGAGAAAATAAATCAGTTATTATTAGTAGACTGTTAGGTTGGGGTTGGGGTTAGTGTAAGTTGACATGTACTTGCAAAGTTTCTTATAGTCAGCTAAGTGTCTGTTGAAGGAGCAGTATCAGCAGATATTAAGCAGACAGTCTAATACTCAAATGGACCATCAAAATAAAGTGTTAACGATGTGTGTGTTTGTGATCGATGTGTGTGTGTGTGTTTGTTCAGGTTCATGTTGAAAAGAACGAAGCCGGACATGAACAGCAGCAGCTCCAGCGCTCGTCTGTCAGAGGAGGTTTTGGCTGATGAGAAAGACGACTGTGAGAATCTTATACAAACATCAACGGTAAGAGAGAGAGAGAGACACACACACACACACACACACACACACACACACACACACACACACACACACACACACACACGGTTTATCCGAAGCATTTTATTAATAATTTCTTTCACAGTTGACACTAAGAAGAACTAAGAACAGGTAGCAGCTAAATTTGTCTGGAGAAGGATTCAAAGACGTTTATCTTCATACACAGCGCGATTGTGAATGCGTCTGAATGTTCTGATTGGCTGGAGTAGACATCTCAGATTAGCGTGTTCTAAACGTAAAGGCGCTCTTTCCGGCAATTGTCCTTCTGCGTTCACTCAGAGCAGCATTCTAGGAAATTACAGCTTCTCTTTCCGGAAAATTGCCAGAACTAATTTACCATATTTTCAAAAAGAGCCCATTCGCACATGATCCCTTTCCGGAAAACTGCCATTAGTTTTCCGGAAAAGTCTGTATGTGTGAAAGGGACTATTGAAATCACTACAAAAAATCCAGAAAAAGTCTAGAAAATATTCTTGATCTTAGACATTAGATATTTAGACTTTTTTTTGTTGTTGTTGTGTGACTGACTTGGCAAATGGCACTGATGTAGAACTGAAAGTTCAGGGATAGGGTTGGGGTAGGGTGAAAGAAAATACAGTATGTACTGTATAAAAACTATGGAAACCTGTGTAATGTCCCCACAATGCTCAAAAACAAACCTGTGTATGTGTTTTAGTATTATTACTCAGTGAGGATCTTCCCCGGGCAGGAGCCCTCCAGTGTCTGGGTCGGATGGGTGACCTCAGACTTTCACCAATACGACACTGCATTCGAGATCAGCAATGTCCGGACGGTCACTGTGACCCTGGGGGACGAGAAGGGCAAAGTTCACGAGAGGTCAGTTGAAATTGAATGATACTTGAGCATGTACTACATTTGAATTTGAATTTGCTACACAACCTTTAGAAAAGTGTGTCCTATATCCAGGGTTCCCACACATCTTAAAAGTACTTGAACTTCTGGCAAATGGATTCAAGGCCAAATTTTGTAAATATTTATACCTATACAGTTGAAACCAAGTTTACATACACTCTAAAAAGAAGGAACATAACCATTTTTTTTAATGTCTGATGGTTAATCATACTAAACGTTTACTATTTTAGGCCTGTTAGGATTACCTAAATCATGTACATTTGCTAAATGCCAGAATAATGAGAGAAGTTTTTTTTTTGTTGAGAATTTTTTTATTAATTTCTAGACAGTCAGAAGTTTACACACATTTCCTTGGTATTTTTCAGCTTTGCTTTTAAACTGTATAACTTTGGTCAAATGTTTTGGGTCTCCTTCCACAAGCTTCTCTCAATAGTTTGCAGGAATTTTGGCCCATTCCTCCTGACAGAATTGCTGTAACTGAGTCAGATTTGTTGGCTGTCTTGCTCAAACAAGCTTTTTCAACTCTGCCCACACATTTTCTACAGGATTGAGATCAGGGCTTTGTGATGGCCACTCCAAAACATTCACTCTGTTGTCCTTAAAGCACATTTTCACTAATTTGGCAGTGTGCTTAGGGTCATGGTCTGTTTGGAAGAGCCATTTGTGGCCAAGTTGTAATATCCTGGCTGATGTGTTGAGATGTTGCTTCAGTATTTCTCCATAATGTTCTTTCTTCATGATGCCATCTATGCTGTGAAGTGGACCAGTCCCTCCAGCAGCAAAACAGCCCCTCAACATGATGCCCCCATACTTCACAGTTGGGATGGTGTTCTAGGCTTGTGTGCTTTCCCCTTTGTCCTCCAAATGTAACACTGGTCATTATGGCCAAACAGTTCAATCTTAGCTCCATCAGAGCACAGCACATGTCTTCAAACATGAGTCTTTTCCCAGTGTGATTGAGCTAATTGTAATCTGGCTTTGTTGTTGATTCTGGCTTGTTGATTTTCCCATGTTGTCACACAAGGAAGCAGTGTGTTTGAGCTTTTCCTTCAATACTATTCTACAGTTGTGCCTCACATTAACTCAAATGTTGTCAATTAGCCAATCAGAAACCTCCAAAACCTTGACATCATCATCAGAGCTTTCCAGAGGCAGAATAATCTTATTGTGTGTAAACTTGACTTTCAAGAAGAGTTATAACAATTTCTCAAACAATATCTCTCTCATTATTCTGCTGTTAAGCACAACAGAAACTAATGTGATCATCCTAACTTACCTAAAAGAGGAAAAGCTTAGTTATATTAACATCTGACTTATTTAAATGTTTACGTGCCTTTATTCACAGTGTATGTAAACTTCTGCTTTCAACTGTATATCCAAAACGTTTTCGTTATATGACTCTTTGGTAATCATTATAAATCATTGTGATTACAATCAAGACTTTTCGCATAATCGAGCAGTGCTAATTTCAGGGCTGTTGTTTGTGAGTGTGTCTGATGTATGTGTGTGTGTTGGTGTGTGTTTGCTGTTGTGCAGCATCAAGCGCAGTAACTGTTATATGGTGTGGGCCGGCGAGTGCACTAGTCCCGGTCAGGGTCGCAGTAATAACGGGCTGGAGATCGGCTGTCTGGTCGATACGGCTAACGGCCTCCTCACCTTCACCTCTAACGGCAAAGAGCTCAGCACTTACTACCAGGTGAACATCCAGTCCTCTGCACATCCCTGCACATTCATTCGTTTTCCTTCGGCTTAGTCCTTTTATTTATCAGGGGTCACCACAGCTAATAAACCGACAACTATTCCAACATATGTTTTACGCAGCGGATGCCCTTCCAGCTGTAACCCAGTACTGGGAAACATCCATACACCCTCATACTCACACACACTCATACACTACAGGCAATTTAGTTGATCAATCCCCCTATAGCGCATGTGTTTGGACTGTGGGGAAACCGGAGCACCCGGGGGAAACCCACACCAACACGGGGAGAACATGCAAACTCCACACAGAAACGCCAGCTGACCCAGCCTGGACTTGAACCAGCGACCTTCTTGCTGTGAGGCGACAGTGCTAACCACTGAGCCATGCTGACGCCCTGTTATTTAAAATATCTATTTGGAAATGACATTGGAGTAGTTCACATGCTTCATTTGTTCGGAACACTGTGCAGTAGTTCACTTTCTAGTCAATAGTGCGCCGTTGTGATTCAGTTTGAATGCAGAATCGATTCAGAATCATTAGAGAAAGAATCAGTGAGTCAAGTTTTTGATTCATTCGCTCTCTGTGCAGGTGGAGCCCAGTACTAAACTCTTCCCTGCAGTGTTTGCGCAGGCCACCAGTCCAAACGTCTTCCAGTTCGAACTGGGTCGCATCAAGGTGAGCTCACACACATGTACACACTCCCTCACACACACACACACACATACACACAGGATGCTGAGGCTATTTTTATTGTTGCTCTAGTTGCACAAGCAGGTTGAGTGTAAGTTTAACTTGAACGTCAGTGAGATGATGAAGTTTGCAACTTCACTTTGGAACTTTTCTCTCTCTCTGTGTGTGTGTGTGTGTGTGTGTGTGTGTGTGTGTGTGTAGAGCATCATGCCGCTCTCTGCTGGACTGTTTAAGAGCGAGCGTAAGAATGTGGTTCCTCAGTGTCCGCCGAGACTACATGTGCAGTTCCTCACACCGGTGCTGTGGAGCCGTGTGCCCAATCAGTTCCTGAGGTCAGAGGTCACTAGGGTCAATGAGAGACTGGGTTGGATGGTGCAGAGTTTAGAACCACTGCAGTTCATGACCCTCCATATACCCGAGGAGAACAGGTACAACACACACACACACACACACACACACACACACACACATGCATTTACCGATACCATGCGGCCAGTGATTTTACTGTCTTTATTACAAATATGCTCGATTTTAAAAACATTTTAAACTTATAAAAATCACAGAGAGTCGTAACAAATATTTTAATCTGAGTTTATTTTAAAAAAAAAAGTTCTGTAATCATGTGTATGCATGTTATTATGGAGACATGGTATATTTTATTAATTTCAAAGCCAAAAAAAAAGCCCTAAAATCAGGAAATTAATTTGATTAAATAAAGCGTACATATTAATATTAATGAAATCTACAAGGCCACAGAAGGACTTTTATCAGTGTATGTCACTAAATAGGCAGGGCAAGGCAAGGCAAGTTTATTTATATAGCACATTTCATACACAATGGCAATTCAAAGTGCTTTACATAAACAAGAATAAAAGAAACAAGTAAAATAAAAATAAAAACAAATAATAAAAATGCATCAAAACAAAACATAAAAACAGGTAAAATGTGATATAAAAGAATGAAGAAGAATAGAAAAACATGATAATGCAATCTGTCGGACGCAGCACGGTGCTCATTCAGTAAAGGCACAGCTAAACAGATGTGTTTTCAGTCTTGATTTGAATGTACCTAATGTTGGAGCACATCTGATCATTTCTGGAAGCTGATTCCAGCAGCGAGGGGCATAGTGGCTGAAAGCCGATTCACCCTGCTTTGACTGAACTCTTGGAACTTCTAGTTTATATGATCCTAATGATCTGAGTGATCTGTTAGGTTTGTATTCAGTGAGCATATCTGTGATGTATTTAGGTCCTAGGCCATTTAGTGATTTATAGACCAGTAATAATACTTTAAAATCTATTCTGAATGTAACTGGCAGCCAGTGTAGAGACCTGAGGACAGGTGTGATGTGCTCTGATTCTCTGGTTCTGGTTAGAATTCTGGCTGCAGCATTCTGGATGAGCTGCAACTGTCTGACTGTCTTTTTAGGAAGACCAGTGAGGAGTCCATTACAGTAATCCACCCTGCTGCTGATAAAAGCATGAACAAGTTTCTCTAAGTCTTCACTAGAAACAAAGCATCTGATTCTTGCTATGTTTTTGAGATGATAGTATGCTGATTTACTGACTGCTTTGACATGACTGTTAAAACTCAGATCTGACTCAAGAGTCATATAACTATAATAAATATAACAATTTTATACAATTCTGACTTTGGTCACGATTAAGTTAGGTTAAATGTGGGCTAGTTTGCTTTTTACAATGTAATTTTATCTACAGGTTGAACCGATGGTTGAACCGATGGTTTATTTATTCAGTAAGGATTTCACATGCACATGAAGAGTATTGATTGTGTTGTGTGTATCAGGTCTGTGGATATTCTGGAGCTGACGGAGCAGCAAGATCTTCTGAAGTTCCACTATCACACACTGCGCTTATATTCGGCTATCTGCGCGCTGGGAAATAACCGTGTGGCTCACGCGCTCTGCAGTCACGTAGACGAGGCGCAGCTCCTCTACGCCATCCAGAACAAATACATGCCCGGCCTGCTGCGCACCGGATACTACGACCTGCTGATCGACATCCACCTGAGCAGCTACGCCACCGCACGCCTCATGATGAACTCCGAGTACATCGTCCCCATGACGCCCGAAACCAAGAGCATCACACTGTTCCCTAATGAGAAGAAGAAACACGGTCTGCCGGGTATCGGTCTGAGCACATCTCTGCAGCCACGCATGCGCTTCTCCTCTCCCAGTTTTGTAGGTTTTAATGGCAGTGGAGGTGTCGACTGTTTCCAGTACAGCCCTGAGTTTCCTCTGGAGACGCTGAAGAGTCGTACGATGGAGATGCTGACGGAGGCAGTGCGAGAGGGCAGTCTGCATGTGCGGGATCCAGTAGGGGGCAGCACTGAGTTCCTGTTCGTCCCGCTCATTAAACTCTTCTACACGCTGCTCATCATGGGCATCTTCCACAACGGAGACCTGAAGACCATCCTGCAGCTGATCGAGCCTAGTGTATTCTCGCAGGACTCTGGAGCCGATGGTGGAGGCGGGTCGGTGGGGGATGGGTGTGGGCGGGGCCAATTGGAAGGGGGCGTGGTCGATGATGGCCTGAGAGGAAAGATGCCCAAAGAAGGACTTTTACAGATGAAGCTTCCTGAGCCTGTCAAACTCCAGGTGAGCAGCAAGCCAGAAAATAGGTTGAATGTCTAAAATATATAAATAGAGAATGTATAAATAGAGACCATTTTGAGGGATGTAAACAATTACAATGATCCTAACGTATTTCCTGTTTTACATTTTTAATTTCGGTCACACTTTACAATAAGGTTTATTAGTTAATGTTAATTAATGCGTTTACTAACCTGAACAAACAATGAAGAATACATTTACTACTGTAATTGTTCATGCTAGTAAACGTTAGTTAATGAAAATACAGTAGTTCATTGTTAGTTCATGTTAACTCATGGTGCATTAACTAATGTTAACAAGCATGGACTCGGATGGTAATAATGCATTAGTAAATGTTCAATTATGATTAATAAATGCTGTACATGTGTTGTTCATGTTAGTAAATGCATTAACTAATGAACCTTATTGTAAAGTGTTACCTTAATTTCTATAGCTTCTGAGAATCCATAAAAGTCCAGGTATTGATAAATACTAGGGATGTAACGGTATCAGAATTTCACGGTACGGTAATACCTCGGTATGAATGTCACGGTACGGTATTTATTGAATCATTTACAGGAAAAAACAAAACTTATGAAAATACTCCAAAAAAGTGCCAAAAGTGTCAATGACATACAAATTAGTCATCTATCTGTAAGCTTTGAAACAGGAACTTCAATTTTAATAACAAAAAAATATTAAACCATGTAAAAAAATAAAGTTTCAATTTAGTATTGTTGAAAACTCATCACATTCAACATTTAATCACTCACTCACTTAGATAGAGATGGGTTTAAAGGAAAATTATCATATAAATATAATCTGGTAAAAGCTGGTATCTCTGGGTATTTACAATGTCCCCTGCAACAGAAAAAACCCTCTCATTTGGGACTGAGGTTTCTGGGTTAAGAGAGATATGACTTGGCCCAGGTTGACAGCAGTGGGTAACGTTGTGCATTGTCTTTCCCCCACTTGAGAGGACAAACCATGAGTGAGATAGAGGTCTCATGTCTGCATCAATCTGAACAGTGTGCTGACAACACCGCTATTCAGTACGCGCGCGACAACACAGCTGATAAGAACTCGCGCGACAACACCGCTATTCAGTACGCGCGCGATAACACAGCTGATAAGAACTCGCGCGACAACACCGCTATTCAGTACGCGCGCGACAACACAGCTGATAAGAACTCGCGCGACAACACCGCTATTCAGTACACGCGCGACAAAACAGCTGGTAAGAACTCGTGCGACAACACAGCTGATAAGAACTCGCGCGACAACACAGCTGATAAGAACTCGCGCGACAACACCGCTATTCAGTACGCGCGCGACAACACAGCTGATAAGAACTCGCGCGACAACACCGCTATTCAGTACGCGTGCAGCGACAACACCCGCTTTAGAGTTTTCCAGCTCTTTTTGATCCTCGCTTCTAGCAGCACACTCCATTTCCGCATTACTGGATCTGTAGCGACAACAGACCGCAAGGGATGATGGTCAAGCATGGGCTGATGGGAATTGTAGTTTCCGGTACCTCCCGTTCGCTTCATTCGCCTGAGCAAATTTTCTCAGAAGACCTATAGTTTTACCGAGTCATGCGACTACGGTAATATCGAAAAAAATTAATATTGCGGTATGACGGTATTTACAATACCGTTACATCCCTAATAAATAATGTTATGAAAGCTGTTTTAACGTAAGAATGTGATTTGAATTGACTTTTTTAACAGTTATGAAATAGTTTGACAGCATGCAGGAAATGTTCATGGGCACCACCATATTGAAATGATCTATAAAAACATGATACTAAAAATAATGTCGTAACTGTCGTTAGGTATCATTCACTCAGTTATGTCATTTCAAATGCAGTCATGGCATTGAGATGTCTTTAAGACTGCTTGACATAAATGCGTCACAACCTGTCTTTGTCATTTTGATCATCACATGATCTCTTATAACAAAATCACATGACCTTTTTTAATGCGCATACTGAAATTTATGCGGTAAAAGTGTTTCCATCGTAGTTTATGCGCATCTTTTCTTATCAAATTAAATGTTTATCCTACTCAGTTATGCGCATAAGCTTTTTTATGCGCATTTTTTACATTTATGCACATCTTGGCATTTCCATCAACCAGTTTTTTATGCGCATATGCAAAATGTGCATAAAATAAGTGGATGGAAACATAGCTATTGAATAATACTGAATAAAGCACATGAGGTGAACCTGAGATTATCAATGACCGTGTTCTGTTGTTCAGCTGCAAGAAATAGAAGCCATTTCTAAAATATAAATCTACAGTAAATTAAAAATATTAATTTCAGGTGTTGGTTAGGACAAAAAAAATCCTTTTAATATGGAAAATGTTTCTTCCCTTGCGTGCCGTTGCTTTTATTTAGAACAAGATTTAAATCAGCTTTTAGGCTCGACAGTCTGACACGCTGCTGTTGTTGTCAATCTGGCAACCTGCGCTTGCATGTGTTTTGAACCAGGAGTGCAATACCTAGTTCAACCACTCTTTGAACTTACATACTGCACCTTTTATAATCCTTTCCAAATATTAGTCCAGAAAGTCTGTCCACCTTATATGAAGTGTTTTACCATCTACCATTGTGTGTGTGTGTGTTTAGATGTGTCACCTGCTCCAGTACCTGTGTGACTGTCAGGTTCGTCACCGTATCGAGGCCGTGGTCGCGTTCTCTGACGACTTTGTGGCGAATCTTCAGGAGAACCAGCGTTTCCGCTATAACGAAGTGATGCAGGCGTTAAACATGTCCGCCGCTCTGACGGCACGCAAAACCAAAGAGTTCCGCTCTCCTCCACAGGAACAGGTCAGCACATGGGGCCAGTATTTACATCATGAGTTTATGAACACCTGCTATTGGTTCTTGTTTTAATTAATAATTTAATACAGATTTTATTAATAGAGTCATTTTAACAATATTGTAAAAAAAATGATGTGTGGACAGAATCATTTTTGTGTACTGCATTGTAACAGTATAATGCAGTAATAAGATTTTGGATGAAAATGTGCTTAATTGACAAGCAAATAATGTTATAGTGCATTTCTTCTGTTTATTTGAGTACATTTTCTTACTACGAAACATGATTTTTATATATTAAACCATGTTTTGTTTAATAAAATGATAGTTTTTTCATTCATTCATTCATTTTTTTGTCAGCTTAGTCCCTTTATTAATCCGGGGTCGCCACAGCGGAATGAACCGCCAACTTATCCAGCAAGTTTTTATACAGCGGATGCCCTACCAGCTGCAACCCATCTCTGGGAAACATCCACACACACACTCATACACTACGGACAATTTAGCCTACCCAATTCACCTGTACTGCATGTGTTTGGACTGTGGGGGAAACCGGAGCACCCGGAGGAACCCACGCAAAGGCAGGGAGAACATGCAAACTTCTCAAACTTTCATAATTTAAAAAAGAATAGCTAAAAGTTGAGAAAGTTTTATGCTCTAAATCATTATTTTTTGCAATAACTGAAAAAATTCTGCACATGAAGGGAATCCTATCCAACCCAAGCTCATACTAAAACCTTAGTCCCTCGGACGTTTCTGGAGACCGCGATTTATGTAGCCGTAGGTACCTATGGCTGCATTTCATTTTTGAAGCGAATGTTACTGGGCGGTATGTCGCCCGCCGGCTGACCGCTTACCTCCATGTGGAGGGCTTTCCCGCTGCAACCACTTTGTCCAGTTAGCTCATCGTGTACGTCAGTGGAGTTGAGATGCATAGAGGAGCTGACGATGACCGGGTTCGAGTCTGGGGAAGAGCGGTTCCAGAAATCAGGTGAGACAAAAACAAGATCCAAAAAATAAAGTGAACAAGTTCATAACAGGATGAGAATGTTGTAAAATCCGAAAACGTGGTAAAAAACAGACAAGGGCTTTTCTTTTTCTAGACACCTTTTGTAAATCGTTGCTTCTGTTTAGGGAAGCAAGCAAGTGGGTGGGTCAATCAGTAAAACTGGTTGGGTTTAGGGAAGGAGGAGGAGGAGGGTGGGTTGGCCGGTCGGGCAGTCAATCATTCAGTCAGACAGACAGACGGTCACTCGACAGGTGGCTTTACGCGAGAACAGCGCGGGTGCAAACGGTGCTCTCGAGAGATGTTCGAGATGCGAAAAAGCGCACACAGCGGCCTCTCACGGATCTGCAAAACATAAAAACTGCACAAATTTGAACCTCCCGGGACGTATTTCGTGGTCTCCAGAAACGTCCATGGGACTACGTTTTCAGAATGAGCCTGGGTTAATCATATCCGTTAATATTGTGTGCTGTGGCTTATGCTGTATGTTTATTGACATTTCACACATATATAATTACTTTTCTTTATCTAAGTATGAGCATTGTACTTGAAATTACATTTATTAACTCAAATCCAGATGATTTTTTGATCTTGACATTATTTCTATTATTCAGTTTCACAAGTCATTCACAAGTGAAAAGTGTTGTGTGTGTCCCAGATCAACATGCTGCTGAATTTTAAGGATGAGAAGCAGGATTGTCCGTGTCCTGAAGACATCCGTGAACAACTGCTGGATTTCCATGAAGATCTCATGACACACTGTGGTAAAACCTTTGTCTGCAATCTAAGGCTGCTTTCATACCTGTGAATCGATTCAGTTGTTCTGAAACAGAGATTAAAATTGTTACATTGTTGCTCTTTGCTCTTGGAGCGGTTCGTTTTCACACTGCAAAGTTTCTAATCGGACCAAAAGAGCTAAAACAAGTCACGTGTGAGTAAACTCTCCACACAATGGTCAGAGTGTCAGGGTTTATTTTGCAGCGTCCCGCTCAGCTGTCAGGAGAGGTGATGGTTTGGTGGTGATTGACAGGGTGCGTGTGCGACGTGTCCGAGGAGAGATGCAGTGGGGAGGGGTGAGAAGGGTGCGAGACGATGTCTATTTGAGGACCGGGAGGGAGACGCGAGATTAACGGGAGATTATCACTCGTTTGCGGGCATCCGGAGACTCGTGAAACTTCCCGCCATACTCATAGTTCTCTCTTCATATAGCCGTATGCCTATTACATATCCATAAAACACTGTGATATAACCGCGCTCGGATCGAATCGCTTTCTCGCTGCAATCGAACCGCTCCAGAGTTTGTTTCAATCGAGCCGAGACCACCTCACTCAAGCGATCTCGGAGCGATTACTTTGGTGCGGAACAGAGTGCGATTGCCCTGTTTATATATGCCAAACGAACAGCGCTAACTGGGCAAACGAGACACGTTCCGAAACAAAAGTGTAGGTGTGAAAGCACCCTAAACCTTTAGATTTCAATAATCTATCCTGTTCATTTGCATTATTGCACTGCCAAATTGTTTGCTTTTCATGATTGAATGGAAGTCTATGCAATGAGATCATTAATATGGTGAGTGTGTGTGTGTGCTCTTGTGTATGTGTGTGTGTGTGTGTGTGTGTGTGTGTGCGTGTGCGTGTGTGTTTGTGTGCATTTGTTTATACTATGTATGATGCCACAAATTTGTATATATGAGATGGGTATGACCTAACATAACAATGTTTAGGTGGTTTACAAGGACATGCCTTGTGTCCTCATAATGTAATCCTATTTAAAATTAAACTTAACAGGGGTTTTTCACATTCAAAAATCACCACAGTTTTCTTTTAAGGGTTGGTTTATATGTAAGGGTAGGGTAAGGCCATGTAATAAGCATTTTTTTACACTATTAAATACATTACACCTATAGAGAGTCCTCGTAAATCACAAAAACCTGTGTGTCTTTGTGTTTTTGTCCATCTTTGCTGCAGGCATTGAGACTGATGATGATAAATCAGGAGATGGAGACAGCGATTTCACCATCAGAGGTCGTCTGATGTCTCTGGTGGAGAAGGTGACGTACCTGAAGAAGAAAATGACAGATCTTCCAAAGAAGAAGAAGTCAAAGAAGCCCAGTGAGTTCCTGCGGTGAGTCTGTGTGGATGTTGTGAGATCTGAGAGCGGTCACTGATGCTGTCTGCTGTCCTGCAGGTACACTCCAGCAGCTGATCTCTGAGACGATGGTCCGCTGGGCTCAGGAGTCTGTCATCGAGGACCCAGAGCTGGTTCGGGCCATGTTCGTGCTGCTCCACCGGCAGTATGACGGCATTGGGGGTCAGGTGCGAGCGCTGCCCAAAACCTACACAATCAACGCTGTTTCTGTGGAGGACACCATCAGCCTGCTGGCGTCTCTGGGTCAGATTCGCTCGCTGCTCAGTGTCAGGATGGGCCGCGAGGAGGAGAAACTCATGATCCATGGGCTCAGGTGACCCACAATCCCCTGCAACAGGCAGCTAGATATCAGATGCTTTAACCCTTGTGTGCTGTCAGGGTGTTTTAATCCTATTATACGTCTTAATTTGGCCACAACTTTCTCTGATTTTGACACATATTTTGGGAAAATGCTTTGAACATTTTTAAATATCCAACAATACAGTGCGGGCAATTTTACAAGCTTTTCCTTATGTTGGTGGCTGTTTTTAACCCATTGACTTGCATTAAATTAATATTTGAGATGACATTTTGAGAAACAATACATTTTTTGATTGCAAAGCCAAGACAGTATATAGTCATGCATGAAATCCCTGTTTGTCTGAAGAGTGTTTGTCTGAAATGGAAAGCTTTGGTATCTATTGACCTCTGACCCCCCCCCCTATGTGTCTGGTCTGCAGTGACATCATGAATAATAAGGTGTTTTACCAGCATCCAAACCTGATGCGGGCACTGGGCATGCATGAGACTGTCATGGAGGTGATGGTGAACGTTCTGGGTGGAGGAGAGTCTAAGGTGAACACTTACTGACATCTGTGTGTGTGTACCTTTGTATGTAGCTTTTTGAAGCGAATAATCTATCTGTCACTCTGGGTCAACTACTGTTTTTTTGCTTTCAAGAAAAACAAACATCAGCAGGGTTTCTCCAGGATAGGTGAACATTAGCATTGATTGGGAAGGTCTCCTGGTTTGAATTGATTAAACATCCATTGGCGTTGCCTGCTGAAACAAAAACAGATTTACATCATTTTAACTATTGTATTATTCCTTCAGACTGAGTGATCATAAGGATTTTCACATGATTTTGTAGTTCATATTTTAGCATACAAGACTCATTCAGATTTATTCACCTTGTTTTTTGGCTTTGTTTCTGTGATTTTCTCCTAAACATACTAATCACACATTATTCATTCATTCATTCATTTTGTGCCGTTTTTTCGGGGCTGGGTTGCAGGGGCAGCAGTCTTAAGCCTGGTTTATACTTCTGCGTCAGGTGACCGGCGTAACCCACGGCGCATGCAACGCGCGTATCTGTGCATTTATACTTCTGCGCGCTGTCTCTGTTGGTCTACATTTACACTTCCGAAACGCTAGTTGGCAGTGAGGGGTTAATGTGTCTCTGTGTCGAGTTTCTTCGCCTGTGTTTTGTTCTTTCTGAATGCTTCCGGGATGTACAAGTGGCTCAAACTCGCTCATTTTGAGGCAGGAACCGGCAGACGTGCAACAACTTTAACTATGAGGTAAACACAAAACAAAACTTTCCATCCGGAGCTCCTTTACAGGGCTCCACACTTGTAAACAGTCGCTCCATTGGGCTCGCGTGGCTCTCGGTCCAGCCCAGAGTCATCAGCGTTACCAAGCCGACCAATCACAGAGCTTGTGCTACGCGTCGTTGCGTCGTGTAGTTACTTTTTTTTAAGTGGCACGTCAGCCACGGCCCCGGCGTAGGGCTATGCATCAGCACCGTAGCATATGCGTGCGCTTGACGCAGAAGTATAAATCAGCCTTTAGGACAGAACCCCAGACTTCCCTCTCCCCAGACACTTCCTCCAGCTCCTCCGTGGGGATCCCCAGGCCAGCCTAGAGACATAGTCCCTCCAGCGTTGGGACATGCCTGAAACAGCTCTCTAGGTAGGCGTCCAGGAGGCATCCGAAACTCGAGCCACCTCACCTTTGCTTTTCGGTTCAGCTCTTTCTTTACCACAAAGGTTCGGTACATTGACCGCATTACTGCTGCCACTGCATTGATCCGCCTGTCAATCTCACGCTCCATCCTTCCCTCACTCGTGAACAAAAACCCGAGATACTTAAACTCTTCCACCTGGGGTAAGGACTTTCCTCTTACCTGGAGATGGCAAACCACCTTTTTTCCGTTGGAGCACCATTGCCTCGGACTTGGAGGTGCTGGTTCTCATGCCAGCCGCGTCACACTCGGCAGCAAACTGCCCCAGTGCAAGCTGAAGGTCCATGTCTGATGAAGCCAACAGAACAACATTGTCTTCGAATAACAGAGATAAAATCCTGTGGTCATCGATACAGTCAAGCCTAAATTATTCATGCACCTGGCAAACTCTGAGCCTAAGTTACTTTTATCCAACCAGCAAGTATATTTTTACTAGAAAAGACATCCAAACATCCTAAGAGCCCCAATCACCACAGACCCCAGAGGGTTAATCATCCGTCAAATGGTCTCCTATGTAAAGCTTTACTAATAATATCAGATTACACTTTCCCTCAGTTCAACATCAATGTCAGTTAAGTTTATTTGCTGCTTTTCAACTGAAACTTTCTTCTTTAGAGTGAAAATCACGCTGATTAATTAATAATGGATGTGCCTTTGAATATCATTTCAATTCAGGAGATCACGTTTCCTAAGATGGTGGCGAACTGCTGCCGGTTCCTGTGCTACTTCTGTCGGATCAGCCGTCAGAATCAGAAGGCCATGTTCGATCATCTGAGTTACCTGCTGGAGAACAGCAGCGTGGGCCTCGGTAAGTCACCTGGAGCTCAGAGAAGCTGTGTCTGTCTGCTACACTCTTTACATTTACACATTTTACATTTAGTCATTTAGCAGACGCTTTTATCCAAAGCGACTTACAAATGAGGACAAGGAAGCAATTTACACAACTAAGAGCAACAATGAATAAGTACTAAAGGCAAGTTTCAGGTCTGTAAAGTCTAAGAAGGGAAGTGTTAGTAGTTTTTTTTTTTTTTTTTTTTTTTTGTACAATTAGTGTGATATTCAAAGAGGCAATTGCAGATTAGGAAGTGAAGTGGAGACTAAATAGTTGAGTTTTTAGTCGTTTCTTGAAAATAGCGAGTGACTCTGCTGTTCTGATGCAGTTAGGGAGTTCATTCCACCAACTGGGCAGATTGAGCGTGAGCGTTCGCGAAAGTGATTTTTTCCCTCTTTGGGATGGAACCACGAGGCGACGTTCATTCACAGAACGCAAGTTTCTGGAGGGCACATAGATCTGCAGAAGTGAGTGCAGATAAGAAGGTGCTAGGCCAGAAGTCACTTTGTAGGCAAACATCAGAGTTTTGAATTTGATGCGAGCAGCAACTGGCAGCCAGTGCAAACGGACTAGCAGCGGAGTGACATGTGCTCGTTTAGGTTCATTGAAGACCACTCATGCTGCTGCATTCTGGAGCAGTTGAAGAGGCTTGATAGAGTTAGCTGGAAGCCCAGCTAGTAGAGAGTTGCAGTAATCCAGTTTGGAGAGAACAAGAGCTTGAACAAGGAGTTGAGCTGCATGTTCAGATAAGAAGGGTCGGATCTTTCTGATGTTATAGAGTGCAAATCTGCACGATCGAGCAGTTCTAGAAATGTGGTCAGAGAAGTTTAGTTGGTCATCAATCGTTACTCCAAGGCTTTTCACCATTTTGGATGCAGTAATGGTTGCCCCATCCATCTGGATTGAAAAGTTATGGTGTAGAGTCGGGTTGGCAGAAACTATAAGCATTTCCGTTTTTGCGAGGTTCTTTAACCGTGTGTGTGTTTTCTGTAGCGTCTCCATCGATGAGAGGCTCCACTCCGCTGGATGTGGCCGCTGCGTCTGTGATGGACAATAATGAACTGGCTCTGGCGCTGAGAGAACCAGACCTCGAGAAGGTGCGACTGACTGTCTGTCTCCTCTAATAAATGTGATGGATTTATTCAGGATGTTAAACAGTGGCTGTGATATGTACGTGTGTGTGTGGTTGCAGAATTTTAATCTAGTGCTTTCATAATAATTCATCTTACCGAACAGTTTTGATTTAAACTCAATGTTATGTCCGTGCAATGTTACAGTGTTTAACCAGTCTGCATTTAAATGCTGTGTTCCATTCAGAATGGCTCATCCATATCCCCTAATCCCTTTGAAGGCTTTACTCTACGTAGGGATGAAGGGTGTAGGGGTCAAAAAAGGTTTCAGTTTGGAACGCACTTCTACTTTTGGTTTTCACTCTGAAGTGCCATTCGAAGCGCGATGTATCTCGTTTGGAACGTACTGAGTGTATTCCAGCAAGTCATTCAAGTCAAGACTGAATGAACTGTTTTGACAAAGTTAGAGGTTTGGCGCCAGGGTAGTTGCTAGACATACAGTAAAGCTCTACTGGGGTATGAAAAGTGCTTTTGAAAAGGAGGAAGACCCCTGTGTGTGTGTGTCAGGTGGTGCAGTATCTGGCCGGCTGTGGTCTTCAGAGCTGTGTGATGCTGATGTCTAAAGGATATCCCGACATCGGCTGGAATCCGGTGGAGGGTGAACGATACCTGGACTTCCTTCGATTCGCTGTATTCTGTAACGGTATGTACTCTGACTGCTCTCCTGGGGATAATCGTTACATTGGGCTTAATTTTTATTATACTTTTTTTAAGAAACGTTTAACATGTACTAACGGAAAGAAAATACAAAATTATTTTCAAAAAATAATAGTGAAGCAAATAATAAAAATTACAATTACAAGTATATGAATAGATAAATGCATGCGCATGCACATACAATATAAAGGTATCAAAACAATGGGACATTTTAAGCGGGTGATACAAATAGCTTTCTCTGATCTGTATCTTAAATATGAATCATTTAAAATTACTTATCATAAATATACATTTGACCACCCCATAATGTAGACAGTGCAAGTGTTCACAAGACACTTTTCTTTTAAAATAATGGTTTGTATCTACATGAAGTGTAAAAGTACAATTAGACACATTGTATAGTTTGACCTAGAGTATACTCTGAAATAGCTAATCAGAGGTTACTGTAGGTCAGAATACACTAAATATCCCGCACCAGGGGTCACCAACATGGTGCCCACGGGCAACAGGTAGCCCACGAGGATTACATGAGTTGCCCACAGGCCTGTTCTAAAAATAGCTCACCATTGCACCACACACCAGTAAACTGAATCTGGTATTTTTTGAAGCTATTCTTTTTAAATGACACCTGCATTGGTGTAAAATTTGTTAATGACATTAAGGTATATATATATATATATACACATACATATTGATATTTCTGTTTCTTACCTTGTTGAATCATTGTTGAGAACTATTGTGAGAAATCATTGACATGATCAGTGTCTTCACATAGATGAATATCATTAATTATTAATAATAACAACATATAATTAAAAGTAAATTGAGAAAAATTGTTATTTAAGAAGTGTGTATCAAACTGGTAGCCCTTCACAATAATTGGTACGCAAGAAGTAGCTCTCAAAAGTAGTTTCAAAAAGGTTGGTGACCCCTGTCCCACACTGAAAACTTAAGTATGTTTTATTAATAAATTAGATGTATAGATTAAATAAATACATCAGTTTGATTCACTAAATTATGTATTTTCCAAACTAACATACCTGAAAAAGTTGCAACACAAGATTTGTCAACAACTCCGCGGAAGATACGCTGGTCGGCGTAAAATAAAAATAAAAATAAAATATTGAATATATAGTTTGCACCTTAGTTATGTGGACGAAAGATTGGTATCAGCTTTCTTCAAAAAGGGATTCCATATTTTGAAAAGCTTATCGGGCTGACATTGTTTGTTGTTGAGTTTGTTGTTGTTGTTCTTTCTCAGGCGAGAGTGTGGAGGAGAATGCTAATGTGGTGGTGCGGCTCCTGATTCGCCGGCCGGAGTGTTTTGGCCCCGCCCTGCGTGGAGAAGGTGGAAACGGCCTGCTGGCGGCCATTGAGGAAGCCATAAAGATCTCTGAGGATCCCAGCAGAGACGGACCATCGCCAACCACAGAGGAGAGCAGGACGCTGTACGCTCAAACACACACACATTTCCTTTTTGAGATGGAACAGAGAATTTGATTATATATTTCTATCATTTGAAAAGAAAAACAAAAACAGCAGACAGTGGGAGGAAATCATTGAAAATAGACATCATCCATAGAATGCATGCACCAGATCATTGTTTTACAACGGTTCATTTAAGATAATTAGAAATGAGGGAATATGTACTGTAGATGGGGCAAACCAGGGTCAAGTTATCTGCCCTGCAAAAACAGCTTTTCATACTTAGATTTTTTGTCTTGTTTCTAGTCCAAATATCTAAATATCCTTAAATCAAGAAACATTTTATTGACAAGCAAAAGATATAGTCTTGTTTCAGAAATAATATGGCAAAATTATGTGAGTTTTTTTCTTAAAACAAGCTGAATGATCTGCCTTTTTCCTTTTGACATAAGGTTTTGTTTACCCCATTGGTAGATTATCCGTGATCAGCACTGAGTTATATGTGGAGTGTGGCTGATATAATCTGTCTCTTTCAGGAATGATGTGATGGAGGAAGAGGAAGACGACACCATTCACATGGGAAACGCCATCATGACCTTCTATGCTGCCCTGATCGACCTGTTGGGCCGCTGCGCTCCAGAGATGCATGTGAGTGTGTGCGTATATGTGTGTGTGTATCATCTTCTCCATCACATGTGCACAGGGTTCATTCAGGTTGTGAAATTTTTGAAATATTATGAGACTTTAAAAGGTCCATTCCAGACATTAAATTAAGACATTTTAAGTTATCAGAAATTATTATATTATATATTTAAAAATTAGTTCATTCATTTTCCTTCGGCTCAATCCCTTTATTCATCAGGGGTTGCTTCAGCGGAATGAACCACCAACTATTCCGGCATATGTTTTGCACAGTGGATGTCCTTCCAGCTGCAACTCAGCTTTGGGAAACACCTATACACACTCATTCACACAAACACTTATACATACACTGCGACCAATATAGTTAATCAAATCCCCTATAGCACATATATATATATATATATATAGCGTCCCCTATATATGTTTGGATGTGGGGGAAACCGGAGCACCCAGAGGAAGCCCACGCCAACATGCAAACTCTAAACAACTGGCCCAGCCGGGACTGGAACCAGCAACCTTTTTGCTGTGAGGCGACAGTGCTAACCACTGAGCCACCATGTCGCCTATATTTAAAATGGATTATTTTTGTAAATTTGACTTCCATTTATCAGAATGTTGTTATTATATACTATATAATAGAACAGAATGTTGTTATATATTACTATACTGTGTTTTTTACTGTGTTGTGTTCCATGCCTGTTTTGCTTTGTTTATTTATATTTAGGATATTTTAAGGAATTCCATCGTTCAGAAAAACAAACTTTTTTTTGTCTTTCATTTAAAGATCATTAAAGTCTTTTTCAGTTTTTAAAATACACTTTCATACACAAATAATACCATAAATATTACATAATACTATTTAAAACCATAAATAATATTTATGGTTTTATATAGTTATCATAAGTCAAACGACAAATTAAAAAGTTTAGTTTTTATCTGATTAATCAATTCATTGAAAAATAAATAAATAAATAAATAAATAAATAAAATAACCAACCAACTATTTGAATATCAAAATAATCACTAGCTGCAGCTCTAGTTTACAACATCAAGCAATTGATCTTACATGAAAAATAAAGTAGAGAGGTCTTGGAAATTCAGCTCTTATTCAGTGAAAAGTCAGGGAATTGTGGCTTAGAGTATAACCCTGTGTACATACATCTGATGTGATCTACTGTATTAATGCCTCACGATTTCCCCTCGGGCAGCTGATTCACGCAGGAAAGGGAGAAGCCATCCGTATCCGAGCCATCCTGCGCTCTCTGATTCCTATTGAGGATCTGGTGGGAGTGATCAGCATCCCGTTCCTGATGCCCACGCTGGCTAAAGGTCTGATTCACCACAGTGCAACACCAGAGCTGTGTTCATCTTCAGTTTTACAGTCCATCACCACACACAGTGTACTGTGCAAATAAACAACAAGCAGTGATGCCACTCTGTTTACTGGTCTAATTCACAGATATTTTCACAATGCACAATGTTTCAAAGGGGCTTTACAGAAAAGACTATTTTTCTCTTATTTGTGTGTGTGTGTGTGTCCAGACGGCTCTGTGATCGAGCCTGACATGTCAGCAGGATTCTGTCCTGATCACAAAGCAGCCATGGTTCTGTTTCTGGACCGGGTTTACGGCATCGAAGACCAGAACTTCCTCCTGCACCTCCTGGAAGTGGGTTTCCTGCCTGACCTCAGAGCCGCCGCCTCATTGGACACGGTGAGTCACATGACTGCTCAGTGAGTTTGTGGCTGTATCTAAAATCGGCCCTATACCCTCATTCCCTACTCCTTACTTTAGAACACTAATAAAGTCCGCTTAGACGAGTGAATGTAAATAAGTGACAGTGTTGAAGCACAAAGAATTCAATCAATCCATTATTGGTATTCTCTAGCGCTTGAGTGTACATACTGTACAGTGGGTTTTATATTCATTGTTGCAATGCATTGTGGGATTGATTCAGTGCACTTCGGAATGTCCACTATAGTTTTGGACACACTATTTAAGGGTATAGGGGGTGATTGTGGATGCAGCCTGTGTGTTATGATGCTGACCTTTGACCTGTGTGACCTTGCACCCTAGGCGGCTCTGAGTGCCACAGACATGGCGTTGGCTCTGAACCGGTATCTGTGTACAGCCGTGCTGCCGCTGCTCACTAAATGTGCTCCTCTGTTTGCGGGAACGGAACCGTTCGCATCTCTCATCGACTCTCTGCTGCACACCGTCTACCGGCTGTCCAAAGGCTGCTGTCTCACCAAAGCTCAGAGAGACGCCATCGAGGAGTGTCTGCTGGCCGTCTGCGGGTGAGACACGTCCAGAATCACATTCACACACTTGTATTATACAAAACACAGCCTTCAAAGTCTTCCTCAGATGAAGTGTAATGATTATTAGAGCAGTGATAAAAAAGAAAGCTACATTGGCGGAGAGAGCTTAATGTGCTGCAATAAAAACAAAACAAAAAAAAAACACATGCAATTGCAAAAAACACAGGCAAATTAAGAAAAGATCCTCCTCCGTTTGACAGCATATGTGATGCACATGCTCACAACGCAAACAAAAACATGGTGCATTTACTCAAAACGCAAAGAAATCAGGAAAATGCCTGCATTTTCCCACAACACATGCAAACTTTTTGTGCATTTTTCAAGGAGACCCTAAAACGTGGCTGACCCGGCTATTAGGGCTATGGTAATTGAGGCTAATACTCTACAAAAGACAAGGGAATGGTGCAATCAGGATGTTTAATTAAACAAAAAACACACCTTTCAAAGATCAGCTACAGCTTCATTTGGGTCCCCTTTGAAACATTTCCATTGTGTTCTGTGCTGTTTGCCTTGTTGTGAGAAAATGCAGAGCGTTTTCTTGATGTATTTGCGCTGTAAGAAAATGCAACACGTTTGCTTTTAAACTGATAAAGATCTTTTTGTAAAAAATCCACAAAAATCTACAGTTGAAGTCAGATTTATTAGCTCCCTGTTTATTTTTTCCACAATTTCTCTTTAACAGAGAGCAGATTTTTTCAGCACATTTCTAAACATAATAGTTTTAATAACTCATCTCTAATAACTGATTTATTTTATCTTTGCCATGATGACAGTAAATAATATTAGACTAGATATTCTTCAAGACACTTCTATACAGCTTAAAGTGACATTTAGGGCCTACTCACACTATGCCATCCGTACCGTGCCCAGGCCCGTTTCCCGGATCGTTTGAGAAGTGTGAGTGTGCTGAATTGGGCTCAAGCACGGTTCACTTGGCCGGCCCTGGCCCGGTTGGAAGAGGTGGGCCTGAGCACAGTTCACTTGGGCTTTGGTGCGGTGCGCTTGTAGTGTGAGTGCAAAATGTGCCAAAGCCCGAAACTGAAAGCGAGTCGTGACTTTTAAAGGACTGTTTCATATGGATTTATTAATCATTATTGTTCAGTGAACGCAAACTGCCGTAGTTTATTAAAGAGGCAAACCCCTCATTGCACGACAGCTGCACCTTCAGCAAACCTCCTCATTCCTGCAGCACGAGAGCTTTATGATTGTTTATGAGCGCCAAAAGTGGTGGATCTGTTCGGCGAAATATCTGACTGCGTGTCACCGCATCCCTAAGGACTGTTTGGCGAAATATTTGACGGCATATCAAACGACTGAAACGATATAACTAGAGAAATCTCCTCTGTGCTGCTGAGTGAGAGAGCGCTTCTCACTGAACAGCGCAGCAGCGATGACGTAAGCGTGCCGAGGCCCGATTGTGGTGTGAGCGTGGGCCGTCGGGGGAGACGGGAGGGGGGACAAGCGTGCTTTGGCCCGGTTTGAGGCAACTGTACCTAGTGTGAGTACAGCCTAAAAGGCTTAACTAGGTTAATTAGGTTAACTAGGCAGATTAGGGTAATTAGGCAAGTTATTGTATAACTATGGTTTGTTTTGTAGACTATCAGAAAAAACGCTTAAAGCGGCTAATAATATTGACCTTAAAATGGCTTTAAAAATATTAAAAACTGCTTTTATTCTAGCCGAAATAAAACAAATAAGACTTTCTCCAGAAGAAAAAATATTATCAGACATACTGAGAACATTTCCTTGGTCTGTTAAAATTCATTTTTTTAAAAAAGATTTAAAAAATTCAAAGGGGATTTAATAATTCTGACTTCAACTGTGTGTCAATAAATTTAATTAAGAATTTTGAACCTGGCTTTATCCAGTGTTTGGATTTTTTTAGAAATGTATGCAAATTAGTTGAGCTGCATGATATTGAAAAATCTGACATTGCAATATTTAGTTTTTGTGTGATCATAAATATTGCTTTATGAATAAAATCGTACACAGTGTAACATCAATGCGTAAACTATATAGAGTGCTAGCATATTTCATTACAGATTACAGACATTGAAAGTCAAGGAATTTGACATTTTTGAGGCAAAGAAAATTGTCAGGTGTTTTATTTTCTTTATTTTAAGTGTACTTTTCATTTATGAAAATGTCTTTTTTCTGGACCGCGTTTTCAAATGTTTCACATTTTATAAAATTTGCAATTTTTTCAGGGCCAACACAACAGTTTGTTTTGTTTTTTGTTCATTAAAGGTGATGGAAGTTGATCTTTTTAGTCAATGAATGTCAAGGAAAAGTCAGTGAGTTTGACATTTGCCTTAGAGAATCAGAATCAAATCTGAATGAGCTTTGTTCAAGGAGTATTTGTCACGGTCGTGGTGGGGAAAAGGGAAAAAGGAGCGAGGACTCAAGTGCAGGAAAAATGGGAATTTATTCAATAATAAAAATAAAAATAAAAGGCAAAACAAAACTACCCCGAGGGGGAAAACATAACTATAAAACAAACACTCAAACAAACTTGGATGGGCAGGCAGGACAAACAGGACTAGATAGCACACGACATGGAAATAACGACGACGAACTGGCAAAGGACTGAAAACATGAGGGGGATTATAAAAGCAAAAAGTAAATTGACACACAGGTGAACATGACAAACTAATAATGAGTAAACAAGGAGGGTGGGACTAGACAATAGACGGGAGAGAGCACGACACAGAGAGAGACAATACAAGCCATGCGCTCACATAACACAACACTCAAGCACACGAGAAAAGCACGTGACCACAATGTAAACACAGAGCCACGTGCTTTGACAAAAGACGCAAGACACGAGCACACGATGAATGAAAACACTCACCGTGCGCTCACACACACGCAGCGTGCATGCTTCATCCCAGCGCCGACCAAAACCGAAACCAACAAGACTGAGACGCTGGGAATGAAACACCATGCTGCTGACAGATGAAAACACAAACACGAGTACAAGAGCGCACGCGTCTGAGGGACGCAGAGCACGCGCGCGGCTGCATCAAGCAGGAGCGCGCACACTCTGCGTACACCCACGACGGCGCGCGCGCACACAGAGACAGAAACAGGACCAGACATGGGTGGTGTCCGAGCTCTGCCACCAAAACAAGAATTTACAAGACCAGAGTGGCAGAACCCTGACAGTATTAGCAAACACAAAAGGGATTTTTGGTGGTTTACAGGAGCTCAGAGTACAGAAAGGACATTACAATGAGTAAACAAATTTATTTGCATACATCTACAATACTGTAGAATTAAGAATGTGACAAAAAGCATTAGAAAATGTTGAACTAGGATCAATAAACTTGGTCACTTTATTTTAATCCGTTTGTTGACTAAGTTACATGCCAACTAATTCTCATTAGATTATAAGTAGACTGTTAGGTCGGGGTTAGTGTAAATTGACTTGTACTTGATAAGTTTCTTATAGTCAGTTGAATGTCTGTTTAGCAGCAGTATCAACAGATATTAAGCAGACAGTCTACTAATACACAAATGGAAAAGTGTTACCATAAACCGTACTAGTATTGTTCGTTATTAGTTCATGTTAGTAAATACATTATCTAATGAAACCCCATAGTAAAGTTTGACCACTGTAGTATTTATTAAGTGTGAACCCTGTAATGACCTAATCCCTTATTTGCATATTCAAACCTGATATTTCAGGAAACTGCGTCCGTCGATGATGCAGCATCTGTTGAGGCGTCTGGTGTTTGACGTTCCTGTGCTCAATGAACACACTAAGATGCCTCTGAAGGTGAGACTCGCCTGAAAACTCGTGTCTGCATCTGGAATCCTGTGCTGTAGACTGATCTGAGATGATGATGTGTTCTCCGCAGCTCCTGACCAATCACTACGAGCGCTGCTGGAAGTATTACTGCCTGTCTGGTGGATGGGGGAGCTTTGGAGCCGCGTCAGAGGAGGAGCTGCATCTGTCCAGAAAACTCTTCTGGGGAATTTTTGACGCTCTGGCCAGAAAGGTAACACACTCTGGAGTCTTGTTTCTAGTCCACATACCCAAAAATTCTTAAGTCAAGAAGTATTTTCTAAACAACTAAAAAATATTGTTTTGTTTTTAGAAATAATAACGTGTCAAATTTAAATTTTTCTTTAAAACAGGTAAAATAGTGAAGTAATCTTGACTTTGCTTTAAAATTTGGTTATTTTATACTTACCTCACTGGCAGATAGTTTAGACCAGGGGTGTCCTAACTCCTGGAGGTTCGTGTCCTGCATATTTTAGTTCCAACCACAATTAAACACACCTGAACAAGCTAATCAAGCTCTTTCTGGTTATGCTAGAAACTTCCAGACAGGTGTGTTGAAAAATAAACCATGCAGGACACTGGCCCACCAGGACCGAGTTTGGCCACCGCTGGTTTAGACCTTTTAAGGAACAACTCAATTAATTGTGACTTATTTGTAAGAGCCATGATTTGGTGTATTATCATTTATTCATAGTGACATGTAGTTTACATATGTTTACATTTACATTCAGTCATTTAGCAGACGCTTTTATCCAAAGCGACTTACAAATGAGGACAAGGAAGCAATTTACACAAATAAGAGCAACAATGAATAAGTGATGTAGGCAAGTTTCAGGTGTGTAAAGTCTAAGAAAGAAAGCATTAGCATTTTTTTTTTGAGTACAGTTAGTGGTATATCCAGAGAGGCAATTGCAGATTAGGAAGTGTGGTGGAGGCTAAATAGTTGGAGTTTTAGTCGTTTCTTGAAGACAGCGAGTGACTCTGCCGTTCTGATGCAGTTAGGGAGTTCATTCCACCAACTGGGCAGATTGGACGCGAGAGTTCGGGAAAGTGATTTCTTCCCTCTTTAAGGATGGAACCACAAGGCGACGTTCATTCACAGAACGCAAGTTTCTGGAGGACACATACATCTGCAGAAGTGAGAGCAGATAAGAAGGAGCAAAGCCAGAAGTCGCTTTGTCAGCAAACATCAGAGCTTTGAGTTTGATGCGAACAGCAACTGGCAGCCAGTGCAAACGCATGAGCAGCGGAGTGACATGTGCTCTTTTAGGTTCATTGAAGACCACTCGTGCTGCTGCGTTCTGGAGCAGCTGAAGAGGCTTGATAGAGTTAGCTGGAAGCCCGGCTAGTAGAGAGTTGCAGTAATCCAGTCTGGAAAGAACAAGAGCTTGAACAAGCTGTGTACAGTTTAGCTGTGTACATTTGCTCATCCCCCTAATTTGTCTGTGATGGTTTGCTGTGCCTTCATTAGACTGTTTTAAGTAATATTATGGGGCATATAAAATGTGAAAGCTAATAAGAGCACTCAGTAAATGTTTTAAATGTGCTAAATTTCTTCTGGCCTTTTTTTTTTGCCTGCCCAATAATTGCATTTTTTTTGTTTGCCCCCTACTGATGGTCCATATGATAAGTGGAATACTGATATTATCGCTATTGCCTCATTGTTAGCCAGAAGGCAAATATTGCTGAACTGAAAATCTTCATGTAGGCGGCACAGTGGCTCAGTGGTTAGTACTGTCGCCTCGCAGCAAGAAGGTCGCTGGTTCGAGCCCCAGCTGGGTCAGTTGGTGTTTCTGTGTGGAGTTTGCATGTTCTCCATCTGTTGGCTTGGGTTTCCTCCGGCTGCTCCGGTTTCCCCCACAGTCCAAGCACATGCACTATAGGGGAATTGATGAACTAAGTTGGCCGTAGTGTATGAGTGGGTATGGGTGTTTCCCAGTACTGGGTTACAGCTGGAAGGTCATCAGCTGTGCAAAACATATGCTGGCATAGTTGGCGGTTCATTCCGCTGCGGCGACCTCTGATAAATAAGTGATTAAGCTGAAGTAAAATTAATAAATGAATGAAAATCCCCTTGTGTCATTGTAAATCTGTCCTGGTTGAAAAGACCTAATGTCTTTTTTACATTTGGAAAACATTAAATACTCCGTTAGAGCTTATTTTATCAAACATGGACCCCTGTGATTTCTTCTATCGAGATCTTACGGAAGGTGCAGGATGCAGATGGACCCATTAGTGTATTTTTTGCTTATTTTTTGTTTGTGCTGTCAATTTGGGTGGGATATGGGTCATGTTTTGGTTGTTTACATAACTGTATTCCATTGTTATTCTGTATGTTTAAAACCAGCAGATTATACTATATATTTCACGTCATGTACGTGCTGTTATTCAAGCATCTGCTTAATAAAAATAACGAAACTCAAGTCCATTATTTGCCCGGCTAATTCCCTGAAGATTCTGATACTACATTATTATTACTCATTCATTCATTTTCTAGTCGGCTTAGTCCCTTTATTAATCCGGGGTCGCCACAGCGGAATGAACCGCCAACTTATCCAGCAAGTTTTTACGCAGTGGATGCCCTTCCAGCCGCAACCCATCTCTGGGAAACATCCACACACACTCATACACTACGGACAATTTAGGCTACCCAATTCACCTTCACCGCATGTCTTTGGACTGTGGGGGAAACCTGAGCACCCGGAGGAAACCCACGTTATTATTATTATTATTCTAATAAAAAGACATACATTTTTAGAAATTATTTAGAAAACGCTTCCTAATTTAAGAATGTGTGCATGTTTGGACTAGAAAAAAGAACAAATCTTGAAGTAAGAATAGCACTTTTTGCAATGCTAAGACCAATTTCTGAGCTGCATGTGTGTGTGTGTGTGTGTGTGTGTGTGTGTGTGTGTGTGTGTGTGTGTGTTTGCAGAAGTATGACCCAGAGTTGTTTAAGCTGGCATTGCCGTGTCTGAGTGCCGTTGGTGGAGCTTTACCTCCAGATTACATGGAGTCAAACTACGTGGCCATGATGGAGAAACAGTCATCGATGGATGCAGAGGGAAACTTCAACCCGCAGCCAGCCGACACCAGCAGGTGAACCTCGTCAAATGCTTTTACTGTACATCTAATAACGAGTGCTGTTTAACCAAGAGTGTTTTCCAAATGCATGATACTGTTGTGTTTGGGTCTCTGCAGTGTTGTTGTTCCTGAGAAACTCGATCATTTCATCAATAAGTACGCTGAATATTCCCATGAGAAATGGTCCATGGAGAAGGTCAGAGCTATGTTACATTGTTTTACTGAAATCGTGTATTTTGATTGTATTTATCCTCCATCTGTTGTAGATTTCATGTTTGGGAGTAACTAGAAAAACACATGCGATTGTTTGACTTCTTTTAATGATTTAACATTTCTAGTAAGATGTTTTACACAATTTAGCAATGATATCCAGCTGCAGGCCCGCAGAACCACACACGTTTTAGGAGCACACAATCTAGGCAAACCATATATGGTTATGATTGATGTTAATGTTATTAACGTCTACTTGGACATCGTCATCGATATATTTTGATATGGTTAATAAACATTGTACACAATAAACTATAGTGTTTACTTTATTTGACAAACATTGTGATCGAGACGGGCGAAGGGGGAGTGTTGTTTCTGATCGCCATTCAATAGACTGAACAGTTTTCTATCAGTCATCGTAGATGATCGGTCATTAGCCCCTTTCACACACTGATACTAGTAAATATCTGGAAAATTACAGGAACGACTTTACCGGTAAATTCAAAAAAGTGCTGTTCACACAGGCGAGGACGTTACGATATTTTTCCGGAAAAGAGCAATCACACATCCAATCTAAAATACCGGTTATTCTGACATCATTAACCAGAAATGAGCTCTAAACGGCTGCGCTTGTGTTTGTAAACATTTGATTACATCACAAACTCTGTGGATGGATCAGTATTGAGAATAACTCCGATAAAAACGCATAGAGAAACACTTTCGCATGTCGAGATGTACATGATATGTATGTGTGCTGGCGCTCACGGGCTGTTTCACGGGCACATGCAAAGCTTAAAGGTAAACAAACAACAACTTATCATAAGCATCTCATCGATAATTATTTACACGATTGGCATTAAGAAGAACATATAAACGTGATCTGACTAACATCCAGCAGCTAAATATGTCTGGTAAAATATTCAAAGACATTTATTTTCATAAACCGCGCAGACGTGAATGCGTCTGACTGTTCTGATTGGCTAAAGCAGACGTCTTACGTCAGCACGTTCTAGACATGCACGCGCTCTTTTCGGCAATCTTCCTTCTGCATTCACACAGTGCAGCATTCCGGCAAATTACCGGTAATCTTACAACTTCTCTTTCCGGAAAACAGCCAGAACGAATTTACCGGTATTTTCAAAAAGGGCCTGTTCACACACACAACCTTTCCGGAAAATTGCCTGCAACCCAGAGATGGCTGTAAGGGCATCCGCTGTGTAAAAACTTGCTGGATAAGTTGGCGGTTCATTCCGCTGTGGCGACCCCGGATTAATAAAGGGACTAAGCCGACAAGAAAATGAATGAATGAATGTATAAATGTCTAACACCCTATTAATATTTTACTCAAGCGATTTAATAGTGTGTATTTGCTTAATTTTCTAATAACTTTATAATTATTTGTTTCCCACATTTTTTACTGTAATAATTTAAAGTTAGATATATGTTGTTTTTAAACCAAACTTTAGCAATAAAAACAAATTAACTATTAATAATAATAATTTAAAAGAAATAATAATAAGTAAAGGTGAGGCAGTGCTGTCGCCTCACAGCAAGAAGGTAGCTGGATCGCTGGTTCGAATCTCGGCTCAGTTGGTGTTTCTGTGTGGAGTTTGCATGTTCTCCCTACCTTCGCGTGGGTTTCCTCTGGGTGCTCCGGTTTCCCCCACAGTTCAAAGACATGCGGTACAGGTGAATTGGTTTGGGTAAATTGTCCATAGTGTGTGTGTGTGAATGTGTGTGTGGATGTTTCTGCGTCTGGAAGGGCATCCGCTGCGTAAAAACTTGCTGGATAAGTTGGTGGTTCATTCCGCTGTGGCGACCCCGGATTAATAAAGGGACTAAGCCGACAAGAAAATGAAAGAATGAATAATAAGTAAAAAAAATAAAATAAAAATAATATATATATATATATATATATGTATATGTACGTATATATATATATATATATATATATATATATATATATATAT